CTAAGTGGAGGGGACCATTTTCAAAAATTTTTGTAATCATTTCGTTGGTTTTAATGTTATGTTTATGTTGTCATTTGGCAAGATGGTTTGGAACGTTGAGCATCGTGTGTTCACTGTACGTCGGTACTTTCAAAATGGCGAGTGTGTCGTTCGAACGCAACGTGAGTTTCGCGTTCACTTTCGTGTTCCACGTCATGGGGCAGTACCAGACCGTAACACCATTTTGAGATGGGTGGAAGCATTCAACACAACAGTAATGTGATGAAGAAAAAACCGCCAGGACGAAACCGTACTGTTTGAACCCCCAAAAACGTAGACAGAGTGAGAGTTGACATGCTGCAAAGTCCGAATCGTTCCATCCGTTTGCGTGCCAGTTGCCTAGGGATCCACGCGTCCTCTGTACGTCGCATCTTCAAGAAGGATTTAGTGTTCCATCCCTACAGAATCCAAGTTTGTCAACAAGGGGACTATGCACAACGCGTGATAATTTTGCACAGCTCATGATTGAACAGTTGGATAACAATGACATGACGTTGTTTATGAGTGATGAAGCACATTTTCATTTACATGGAGACGTCAATAAACAAAATTGTCGATATTGGTCTCCAGTGAACCCCCAGCAGTTGCATGAGCACCCTCTGCATACTCCGAAAGTTACAGTTTGGTGTGCAGTAGGCCCAACGATGATTATTGGCCCTTATTTTTTTGAGGATGATGGAGAAACAACTACTGTGAAATCAGATCGTTACATCCACATGCTGAACAACTTTTTTTTTCTGGAACTTCGACGTCGACGTGTCTGTCTCAGAACAATGAGGTTCCAATAAGATGGGGCAACATCTCACACAGCTCGCACTTCGATGGAAGTTCTTCGTCAAAATTTTCCAGGGCGTCTCATTTCACGTCATGGCGATATTCCATGGCCCCCTCGCTCCCCGGACGCATTTTAACACTATGGTATAGGATTCGGCACCAGACTTAATTTTATTGGTCAATTTTAATTTATTCAACCAATAACAAGCCGGGTGCCGAAATCACTACCGGAGTGTTAAACAGTGCTGAGCATGGGGTCAGAATGTTATCAATTTAAATTTAAATTTACTTACCTTCCGCTAAAAATACGTAAGATAATAATCAACACACGTTGTTTCCTATTACGATATTTAATGATTTTAAAATTAATAATTTGGTTTAGCAATAAGAAAAATTACATGAAAAATTTATATATATTTATATAGGTGAAAAATTAAAGCTTCCGCCTTTTGTTGGGTACTTCGACAAAATTTAAGCAAAGAGGACTCTTTATACTTTTTTAATTCTCTCTAGCTTTCAATGGACTTTGCCATCATCATCAGGAGCTGCAATTACAATGATAACAGTAGCAACAAAAGTGTAAAATTGGAGAACTTACATATCTCCCCAAATTTCGACTCTTCACAACCATAAATAGAATCTGTGTTTTGGCCAATTCCACCAGTAAATTTCATTCCACTCAAAATATAATAATTCTCTTCTCACGATTTATTAATAATTGTTAATTTAAATTCCCATGAATTAAAATATAGTTTATTCAACTGCCTGTGGTCGGTTTAACAATTTCTTACATAACATTCTGGAAATCACATCATCTGAAGTGATTTGGCAACGTTTGGCACACGCCCACAATTCATTCCATCTTTCAGCACAGACATTGACAACCTTCGGCCTTCTGTCAAAGGGTTTCATCTCACTCACTATTCCATGACCACCATTTTGTGCAATCATCAAGTGGCTTCACGATGTAATGCTCTAATAATTTTTAATCTGTTTTTAACTTGTTCTTGTCATATTTTATATAATTTTGACAATTGTACCATCTATCCAGCTCTCACCATGTTACTGGACGTTTCCCTCATCCTATACGTAAACAACAATTAGCAACATCCTCACATACTACTGTAAGTTGAGTCAATTTAAATTCATTTTACACTTTTGTTGCTACTGTTATCATTGTAATTGCAGCTCCTGATGATGATGGCAAAGTCCATTGAAAGCTAGAGAGAATTAAAAAAAGTATAAAGAGTCCTCTTTGCTTAAATTTTGTCGAAGTACCCAACAAAAGGCGGAAGCTTTAATTTTTCACCTAATATATATATATATATATTAGTAGAAGTAGTTTATTGATAACATTCTGACACTGTTTTCAGCACTGTTTAACATTCCGGTAGTGATTTCGGCACCCAGTTTTTCACCTATATAAATATATATAAATTTTTCATGTAATTTTTCTTATTGCTAAACCAAATTATTAATTTTAAAATCATTAAATATCGTAATAGGAAACAACGTGTGTTGATTATTATCTTACGTATTTTTAGCGGAAGGTAAGTAAATTTAAATTTAAATTGATAACATTCTGACCCCATGCTCAGCACTGTTTAACACTCCGGTAGTGATTTCGGCACCCGGCTTGTTATTGGTTAAATAAATTGAAATTGACCAATAAAATTAAGGCTGGTGCCGAATCCTATACCATAGTGTTAAAATGCTCCCCGGACCTGTCAACGTGTGATCTTTTTTTATGGGGCTACCTGAAATCAAAAGTTTACCAAAGCAAGCCTCGAACCCTCGTCGATTTGAAGGAGGAAATAAGAAGAGAAGTAACCCAAATTCCTGCACGGATGCTGGCCGACGCAATGGGCTCATTTCGGGAGAGGCTTGATTCCTGCATTTCGGCTCAAGGGCGCCATATGGCCGACATAGTTTTTGGAACGTAAATTTTGTTTTACTCAAAAAAATGGCATGTATTTCTGAGTATTTTGATATAATAAAATATTTTCCCATACTTATTTTGACTGTACTACTCATTTAAAAAACATGCGTTCTTTATGACGGACCCTGTACAGTTAAAAATTTCAAGATAGCGGCTGGGCGTCAACTTGTAACATGGTTTCAAATAGAAGGGGGGTCAAGCGATACCTTGTTTTGAAGCTCCTTATAACCCTGGAATATAAAACTATCTTTAAAAATGGCGGCCTTACGGCTATCAAAGTTGAGTATTTTTGTACATAGATCGTTTATAACTCGGCAGCCAATAATCAAAACGCTATAAATAATAATAATAATAATAATAGTAATAATAATAATAATAATCTATTGGTGCTAAGTATACATGGTTTGCACATGTGAAAAAAGAAAAGAGTGGTTAAAAATCGTTAAAGATAAAAGAGTAACTATACAGGGTGATTCACAAGTCCTGACCAAAAATGAAACATCATACACAGGACCGCATTTCAGGGCGTCATTGAAAAGATAGGGGGTGTTGAAATTTAAAAACAAAAAAACATCTTATTATCTTGAAAGCCGTCAACTGGAATAAACTAAAATTTGGTACGTTTATTTACCTAAGTATTATCTACCTTCAAAAGCATTTGCTTAAAGTTAACGTGCACCAGTGGCAGAGATACATGGGATTAGCGCCAATATTTTTCCAAATAAAAATAGTAGGCGACTGCTTTTTTTTCGAAACGCGCAATTTTTCGAATTTTGTCTCCGATTTGCTACAAATACCTAATTACTCTTGTTTTTTCCTGGAGTGCATTGTTTTCGTAAAAATAAAAAAACAAATTAGATAATCAACGCTTTATTTCAATAAATGTCCAAAAAGACCACCAGTCAGACGGATACAAGTGCGGCACCTTTTTAATAACGAAAAACGTATTTTTCTTTCTTATAACCGATCAACAGTATTAACTTGTTCAGCTTACACTAATTGTTTAAAAGCGCCCCACGAAAAGAAATCCAGGGGGTTCAAATCAGGAGACCCTACAGACCAATGTGCGGGTCCGTTTCTGCTAATCCATCGTTGTCTAAAATGATTATTTAACCATGCGGTTCATCGCCGGGTTGTAGACGTTGCACATTTTGCTGATGGTAAGGATGTAAAACTTCCACATTCAAAATTCTCCACGCAAGACTTTGGGAAGATGGTAACTGGGCTACAATCTGCCTAGTACTTGTACTAGGATCATCCAACGCCAAATTAATCACTTCCAGTTCCTGTTGAACAGTGTGCCGGACACATGGCCTCTATCTCCGGGAAGTTTGACAATTTCATATTGCCGATGTCATAGAAATGAACGCGTAAAAACCTTTGTAGTAGTAACGACAACACATAACTTTGACAAACTATCTCCCAAGAAACATCAAGTTGGTATCAAGGCCTCCTATTTTATTCTGAAACTGATTGTATCTCGGCTCTTCATGAACGATCTATTTTTTAAAATTTCGCGTTTCAAAAAAAAAACAGTGGCACACTATTTTTAATTGGAAAAATAATGCCACTAAACCCATGTATCTCCGCCACTGGTGCACGTTAATTTTAAGTAAAGACTTTTGAATGTAGACAATACTTAGGTAAATCCACATACCAAATTTTAGTTCATTCCAATTCACGGTTTTGAAGATATTAAACAAAATTGTTTTTTTTATTTTTAAACTTCAAAACCCCGTATCTTTTTAATGAAGCCCTCCAGGAAAAATTGTTACATAGAAGAACCCCTTAAGATGTGGTCATGTGTATGATGCTTTGGTCACGACTAGTGAATCACCCTGTATAAACAAAAAAAAGAATCATGAAAAGCTTGTAATAGATAACAAATATGGGTGCAATTGTTGTATTTATATAATACTTTTATAAGTTATAGGGTCTGATATGAAGTTTTTCATGTAATATGTTTTGTACACAGGGTAGAAAATTATTTGTTCCTATTTATTTTTTCTTCTAGAAGGTCATATAAAAAAGTTAGAGGGGGTCAATTTATAGCCAGATATGCAAAATATAATATGCAAAAAACGCTTATTTTCGAAAATTTTCGCGATATACAATACTTCCTTGACAGTGGCGTGAGAAGTTAAATTAATGCTTCAGATGTTTGATGACTTTCTTGTGTTTTGGGAATATCTCAGATTCTTCAGCGTTCATGGAATAGTCATAAAGTGCTTGATATTTTCAATTCCAGCAACAAGAGAACAAGCTTACGTGTACGCCATCTCATCGGCAGCGGTAGTTTGGGCCGTGGCAAGAGCATGTTCTTCAGGAGCTCTACACCAATGCACCTGTGCCCCAAGACCGTCCAAGTCTCCAGCACCTACGCAGAAATTCCAATGGGGCGGATGTGGGGATAACATCAAATGGGGATCACACTTCTCCAAAAGGTATTAAACAAAATTTCACAGGACACATTTGTTTTTCCGTCAAGATGCCTATACCGGTTGTTTCGTATTCGAATCTCACCATTGGGATCTCGGAAGCTGTAAGAGATACAAGGGCGGTTAAATAGCGCCAAAATTACGTATTTGCGCATCGAATTTCCCAATAGATGACACATCAACATTGCTACTTATCATCTACAAGAACTTTGAGTATTAATGAGAAACCCTCGTAAAGCGACAACTTCGTGAATTGCAGATTGAGACACACATCGAAAAATATCTATTAGCTTCGATGAAGGCTCGAGTTCCTCTGGAAAACGCGTGAACGCTTCTGGATTTGTCAATTCAAAAATAAATACACGCTTAGAAGTCAGTGTGAGGCAGACTCAACAGCACCGTGAAACACCATAGTTCAGTCGATATAGTCATAAATCTGTAGTAAATCAATTGCAAGTGTTGTAACAAATTAGTGAGAAATTAATAAATTAGACTTCAAATGGTAAACACGGTGTTTTCATTACAATGCGACAAAAAGTGTAAGTGTTAGGTTGCCTAAAGAAATCTTGAGCAGACTATCTTTAATTAAAAGGTGATTTTCATTAAGTGGACCGAACATTCTATTCAGGGTGTTAATAAAGTATCTCGTCTATTTTCGAGATATACAGAAAAATCATACGTAGGAAATGCTAAGTTAGTTCCCAATGCACAGGGTGTCAAACTTTTTAAGCTCGTTTTGTTACAAGTGTGCATACAAATATGGTTTTGGAATCGTGGGGAGCCGGGACTGAATGTATGCTGATTAATAAAGACATTTATTATTATTATTATTAAACGCGCCGTACAAAGACGTTGTAGCATTGGGTGTTGTTGTCGATTTCCCTGGATGAGCTCATCTCTTTCCACTGCTTCTTCTTAGATCACTACACTTGTCTTAGCGATAAATCAGAGTTCTGGAGCGAATGAGTAGGCCTAACATGGATTCCAGTAGGTTTTTGAAAACGAACATTGTTTTTGCAAATCGTATACAAAGTTGTCAATGGATGCTTCCCCTTCTTGACTTCTTTTTCCTTCTTGTACGCATGTCTAACTTGTATGCGCAAGTTCCAAAGGATTTAAACTTGTAGGGTTTTTTGAATATAAATGAATTTATAGATGATATAGATTTCCGAACTTGCACAAACGACAAAAATTGTAAGAAACTTGATAAAATTTAGTTACCGAAAATCTAGACTTCAACTAATAAGAAAAATGCCCAAATAAAATCCAAACCCTCCAAGAAAAGACATAACAGATTTGAATCAGGCGATTTTTAGCGATATGTTTGTGCCTGCTGAACAATATTTAAAAAAATACGATTCCGATTTTTCCAGAACGAATTCACAAAAAAAAAAACTTGATACCCTATATCTATCACCATTGAAGTTCCACATTAATAACATCCCATATAAAATTTTTGGTTTAGCCCCCATACTTTGTCACACCGCAAATGTAGCGTAAATCTTCTTTCCTATTATATTCGTTTTTTAGGTTCATAGATGCTGTAGAAAAGTCTACGCTAGAAAAAAACAAAAAATCGAGGAGAGATGAAATAAGTGAATCTGAACGAATTCTGAGGAGTTACATGGCACTTGTAAACTTACACAATAACAAGGTCGGAAGAAAAGTAAGTAAGAATTATTTTTAAGGCTAAATTATTTTCATTATTATTTGTGTAATTGAAATTTTATGTATACGAAAATCCGAAACATGATTGGTAACATTGAAATAAATTGACAATTTTCTAATTTTTAGATCTCTTACGTTTTTTTTAGCTACGCCCTAAAGTTGAAACATTTATTAGAATTTTTGATCCCATAAAAAATGTTAGCTTACCACCCATAAATTATCAGGGAGTTTGAAAACAGGCATAAACCAAGTTTAGATCTCATAACTGGACCGATATTCGAAATTCAAAATATTTTGGGATTTAAACAACACTTCCTATACAATTGGCATGGGAAGTACAAATTCAAAACCTTAGTAAACACTGCACTAAAAACTGATAGAAATTACAGTTTCACAATTTTTGCATTGACAATTTTCTGCTTTTCTAAATATGTATTTATTTTTTAGATAATGTCTGAAAGCCTTCGAACCCAATGTAAGTGTCACGGGGTCTCAGGTTCTTGCAACATAAAAACATGTTGGAGAGCTTTGCCTTCTATGACCGAGATAGGAATGAAGATGCTTCAAAAATACACAAATGCCATCGAAGTGAAGAGGGGATTTTTGGAAAAAATCAGCTCGGAAGAAAAAAAGAAGAAGAGAAATTCTAGCGCACAATTAGTGTATATTTCGAAATCTCCTGATTATTGTACCAAAGATGAGAAGTTGGGAAGTTTCGGCACAGTTGGCAGGTGAGTACTTTCCCTTTTTGAAAACATTGCAAGATCCACTTTTGCAGCAGGAAAATGCACGACCTCATGTCACACGTATTAGCTAAGACTTTTAAAAGCGTCTGGAGTAAATTTGCTTTAGTGGTCTTCTCGATCTCCAGACCTTTTCCGCATCGAACATGTATGGAACATGATGAGAAAAAGGTTGCAAAATTCACCTCACCCTCCACAAACAATGGGGGCTCTACGAAACCAAATTCAGATGGCCTGGGGTTACAATACACCAATAAGACATCAATCACTTAGTCCAACCAATGGAGGAGCTTCAACACATCATTAACATTAGGTATTTTAGGAAATTTCGAGTTTAAATTTTAATCACTTTCTATTTATCAATAGACCTGAAACTTGTAAAAGTATGCTCTAAATTACAACACTCCTAGTCAGTGTTGCATTTTCTATGTCATTTAGTATATGTATCTCAAATTCAGCAGTTAGTTGTTAGTTTTCAAAAAGTTAAGTAAAGATAAGGCGTGAGATACATATGAGGAAGGCGGTGGGTCTGGGCCTCCCTCAAAGGGTACATTTTTTTTATAAACTATCACTTTGTCATGACAGAAGTAAATTTACACGGCAGTAGGCAATTTGCATGTTTCAAGTTTGGGAATTTGGATGCTTGGGATCAAAAGATACTGATCTCTTGTTTTAGAAATAGCGATTCCAATGATCTTTCAAATTATAGACCTATTTCACTTATGCCCCTTTTATACCTGACAATTTTTTGAAAGATCAGCTGATTGACTATTTTGGAAGCAATAACCTATTTGCTATATGTCAATTCGGTTTCAGATCAGGTAAGTCTATTATCTATTGACAGCTTCATTCAGAAAATAAATGCAGCTTTTGAAAGATGTGCTGATTGCTAATTTTATTTTGATCTTCGAGCCTTCGATTGTGTTCTAGAAAAATTGTCGCATTACAAATTCCATAGTAGCAGCATTAAGCTGTTTTCATCTTATTTGAGCAACATACAGCAGATGTAGCTTTCAACAACAGTACCACCAGGATAAAGAGATTTATATGGCGTCCCACAGGGTTCTGTGCTTGAACCACTTTTATTTTCAGTATACGTAAGTGACCTTCCTAATGGTAATACAGAAAAAGCCCATATGTTGTTTGTCGATGACACAACAGTGCTCTGAAGTAGTAAATTGAGTGGTCTACTTTATTCTGCGAATATTGAATACACAAAAAATAGAAAATTGTTTTTTAGCAAATAAACCTAATGCTTCAAAGACACATGGTACTAAGTTTGTGTCGCCATAGACACAGTAAAATTGTTGGGTGTCAGTATTGATACACACATCATTTGAAAACAATATTCTCTGGAAACTATCCAAGACCATTTTTTTAATTAGGCATCTGAAGAGCCTTGTTTCTGGCGATACGTTGATAACCACATATTATGGATACTTCGATTCAAGAATGTCATATGCACTCTTAAACATCGTCTACAATGAATTAGAAACATTTCTAACCACTATGGAATCCAGTTTTATAATATTCTTCTCGAAGCACTCAGAATGTTTGGCCCTGACTCATTTGAGTATAGAATTGAAGTGTAAGTTATCAATAAATGTTTATACCATCGAAGAATTTTCAAATAACATGTTAACTCGGATATCTTATAATGCTGTTGTAGTGTGCTTGCTTAGTTTTGCTCTGCTTGTTAATTTGTTTGGAGGTGCTTGTTCTACAGTTTTTTATTTAATTCAACAATCAACAGTCATAATATCATTTTACAGTTTTTCTGCTAATGTTGTTTCCTACAGTTTTCTGTTAAAGTTGTTCTTTCCAACAAATTTTGTAGTTTTATGACTTTAAACTTTTATAATTTAACCTCTTCTTTGACCTCTGTAAGCACACAAGTATATTAAGCACCAATAAAGAAATGAAATAATTTAATGATATTCAAGTTTGTTAGTGTTATCCTGTGGTTTTCATGTCTGGCCGAAATCAACGCCACATACTATATATGTTTAGTTTTCAGTTTATTGCACGACCACCACAAGTAATATTTCGTTAAGTTTTTTTTCTTTTTCGCTTTCCTACATAGTGCGTTACTACACAATTATGTACATTGCAATTTTGAGATGGCACCGCGCAAAACCAGCGAAGCTCAGGGCTACCTGGGTTGGCATGCCGCTCCCAAAAGGACGTTAGCGATTAAATATCGATATGAGTGACAAATTTTGTATATGATTTTTTCGAACTCGTAGATGATAGCCTCAAACACTTTAAGCCTGTGTTTAATACTTTAATGGCCAATTCGTATTGCATGGATAAGGTATATACATTATAATGTGTTGATTTTGAAAGGAGTCTCAAACGAAACTTTGCCTATTGAGAACAGGAAAATATGTTTTTGGCGATTTTTTTAGCGACATACGTATTTGAACTTTACCAACTTTATCAACAATTGTGTCAAGTAGCTTGACTCTTCACTTCCCACGCAACGATACCATCAGTTCATAAACCAGCAGCGGACAGACTGACCGACTGAAATGCGTGACATGGTTTTTCGTGATTTACATCTCATATAACACACAAAAAACAAAATATCTCGTTTTTGAAATGTTTCGCTAATACAATACAACTCCAGTAGGCGTGGGAAGTAATACACGAAATCATTCTTCATCAAGAATAAAATTGTACCTACTTCATTCGAAATGCACTTCTATTTTCAAGTTCTTTAAAGAGTAAATAACGTTTGTAGCACGATTACTTCTTTCACCTTGACTTTTTCTAATTACAAATATGTCGAGAGTTAATTAAACAACTTCCCGATTCCGTTATTTTTTGAAAACTCATATTATTACTTTCCATAACAGTTGGCCAGAAAGTCTTGTGATTACTCATTTCCTTTGATTCTGTTCATAATATCACGAAACTCATGTGACCCATATGCCCCGTTGGTCCTGAAACTACATTGTCTGTCTTCGGTCGCCGACAGAAGGATGCCTTTTGCAAAAACATTTTAATTTGTCGGTCCAGCCCGCGTGATTTGCTTTTTGTGTATCTGCCGAGGCATGCCGACCAAATCAGCTCACGATAATTAGCGGATATAAATCTTTAGACAGGTATCCAACTTTTTCCTGTTCCCATCACTGTCAGGTGAGATTTGGCGTTCTCAGACTAACAGTACTTTGCTTAATTGGTGTAGTGTTGCATAAAAATAAAAAAATGTTGTATAAACTATTTGCCGCTAATCTCGAAATCAGAAATATTTTACAAAATATTACTACTATAGTCCTAAAAGATTGGGCATAAAATATTTATCGGGTTTTTTTAATGAAGTAATTTACAATACTTAACTAAGCCATACTATCGAATTATGTGGAGTGGCCCATTCTGCTCTACCAGACGCAACTTTCATCGAATGTCTCTCATGAGGTCCTGGACGGAATTCAGATCAACTTCTCTCAGTTTTTCGTAAATTCGCCGTCTTAATTGTTCTTCATCTTGAGCTTCCCAGCCTCCATGATAAATCTTCCTAGACAGTAAAGCCCAAAAATCTTCTAATGGGCGAGCCTGCGGCAAGTTTGGAGGATGTTATGTAGTCGAAGCCAGTTTTGGGTATGTTTTGGGCAATGACATGATGCTAACTCTAGTTATTAGCATGATGTTCGTGGACAAACTGAAGCAATTGGAAAGGCAGTTATCAATATAGCTCTGACTATTCAAAGCTTCACCCCACACTCTTCCTACAAAAGGTTGGGATACACTCCTATTAGAAATTGCGCACCCGACAACGATTTTATTTTACTTTATCTTTGTATCAATGTCAGGGCATTACCTTTAGTTCAGAATTACTAAAATAATGATTTTCCCATTGATAAAGTTTACCCGCCCCAATTTTCGACAACATCTTGATATACGAAAGAGTTGCGCTTGAGTGTATTGGGGGCACTTAAGTCTCTTTCGATATTTAAGACCATTCCTTCTCAATTCCAACGATATCGTACTATTAGATGATCTGTATTGACAAGCCAGTCTCCTTGTTGACATTCTATCCTGATTTTTTGATCTTCTCACCAATCTCTCTGACCTCTGTGCAGTAAATGCACGTGGTCTTCCACTTTTTGGGAGATTCAGACATGGTATTCCCTTCTCGCACTCCGCTATTATTCGATGTATGGTTCTGCGTGAAACATTTTCATTATGGAATATTCGACAAATTTCAGCTTTGGGAATAAATGTCAACTGACAGTAAAGTAAGTAAAGAAACTTTTGTTTCCAAAGCCAACTTGGTACTATTTTGTGTTCGTTAAAATTAAACCCAATTAATTTTGTGCCAAAATTTTTAGAACATACATTTTTATCAAGAATGGGATATTTTCACTTCCCTGGGGAGTATACATGTTTTTTTGTATTATTTGTCGATAACTAACACTAATATAATACCTTATTACACATATTCCATTCATGGAAGTATCTATATTTATTTTTCATTAAATAAATCTTCAATGTCAATGACGTTGACTACCGCTGCATTCTTGGCGCGCAGTCATAACTCATAACTCGTGGGTTCTCATTTATTCTTAAATCAAATCCAAGCGAATAACCAAAATTTCTGTTATGTGCTGCGGTTATAATATGGTTCAAGATGACACACGGGTTGATGACGTCAGTTACACGAATCGCTTGAACGCGTTGGTTTTAACCGCGGTTTTGTTGCAAGTTGTTTATTTTAGAAAAGCGCGTATATAATCTCTGATTATTTTTATTATCATTTAATAATCGGTGCTTTTTCGTCTACAACTGTATATGGAAAGTTTAAATAAGAAACCTTTCATAATATTCATGGGAGAAATGTTTTTTCAGATTTTTTTTTTAATGATGGAACCATGGCTTTGTAGCTATGATAACTTTCAATTCTCTAATTTTTTCCGCATGTCAAAGAAAACATTTATTGATTCAGCAGAAATGATGAAAAAAGAAATTAGCAAAACCGTATACAGGTGGATATCATCTAGTGAGTTTATATGGCCATATTTTAATATTCTTGTGGTATATGGCTACACAGGATACTTTGTTAAGCATAGGAATTACATTTAAAGTGTCCCCAACAACCGTAATGAGTATAACTTTATGGTAAAACTGAAGTTAGCCTGTATCATGTTTCTCAAAAATGAAGCTGAAGTACAATAACAATATCCAATGCCCGGCAAAAACCAAAAATATAAAACTACTCTTGAGTTGGGTAAATACCACAATTTTGCGGTGATAACTATGACATATAACAGCTGATTCGTGACGTCACGGATCTTATAACCAAACTGATAACTACACTCGCTTGAACGGATTGGTAAATACCAACCCAAAATGGTAAATACCATTTCCATTTGGTTATCCGCTTGAATTTGATTTTAGTTAGGTTACTGTTGATTTTTTAACATTCCATCTGTATTTATAGGTTATATTTATTTCTCAAACTGATGGGTTAACAATAAATAATAAATCAAATTCAAGCGAATAACCAAATGAAGATGGTATTTACCAGTTTGAATTGGTATTTACCGATCCGTTCACGCGAGTGTGGTTATCAGCTGTTATATGTCATAGTTATCACAGTAAAATTGTGGTATCTACCCAACTCCCGGAGTAGTTTTATTTTTCTGTTTATTATTTGAAATGTGACAAGTTAGAATTTTGGCTGGTGTTGGATATTTTTGTTGTACTTCATTTTTAAGAAACTTGATACAGGTTGACTTCAGTTGTAGCATAAAGTAGAGCACTTTATTAGATATATTCATTACTGTTATTGGGAACACTTTAAATCTTTTTCCTATGCTTAAACAAAGTACCATGTGTAGCCATATATCACAAGAATATTAAAATATGGCCATATAAACTCACTGGATAATGTCCACCTGTATACGGTTTTGCTTATATCTTTTTTCATCTCTTTTTCCTATCATTTCTGCTAAATCCATAAATGTTTTCTTTAACATGCGGAAAAATTTAGAGAATTGAAGGTTAACAAAACCGCGGCCAAAACCAACGTGTTCAAGCGATTCGAGTAACTGACGTCATCAACCCGTGTGTCATCTTAAACCATATTATAACCGCGCTACATAGTACAGAAATTTTGGTTATTCGCTCGGATATGATTATGGTAACTGACTGACCAATCCACTAATGCGGGTCCTATACGATGCTGCCAATGCTGTATACAACGTTGTTTACAACGTTCGACACCCTACAATTGCCAAGTGTATCTCCTACAGGATGGGATGCACTTTTAAGTCTTGGACGTACGACGCATGGTGGTGCCAACGTCTATTATCAGTATAAACGATAACACAATTTTTTCGAGCGCCGAAAAATAATTTCAGATCTGTCTTCAGCGACCAAAACTTAAGTCTGTCAGAAGCCTCAGAAATGTCGAAAAACAAAGTCTAACCGTTTTCCTTTGGTTTTTCGACGATAACTCCGCCGCCATTGTACCGATTTTCAAAAACTGAGAGTGTTTTCGTCTTTTTCATAGTAGTAACCTAGGATCAAAATTTCATCAAAATCCTGATAGTATATTCAGAGTTATCATTTATTTAATCTTTTTCGTTAGTTATGAATTGCAAGTCAATATATATTTCTCAACTAGTCTTGCATTACAACAGTCCATTATAATGAAACAACTGTAAGCAATTGATAATTTATTTATACATTAATTGTCTACGTATCGAAGTATACAACGCTTTTACAATGATGAAGACAATGTATAGCATAGCATAACTGAGGTAAGGTTTATTCGCGAATGTCAGAAAGTTGGCAAACAGTGAACCGACAACTTAAAAAAAATATGGTTGGACGCTCCAAGAACAAAGAATCGATGAACTAGGGTCCATTTGTTGTTCTCAATTCATTTAAAACTGTATCTTTGTATACGTATATAAATAAATATTATTATATATTTTTTCATTATTTATAAACTGCTTCCACAGTCAAACCAATAATGCAGTGTTGCAGAATTTGTATCTATCCTGAACTTTTAGTTCCACCTAAAATCGGAGAACCATTAGGATTGATCTCGAATTGATCCTAAACAAGCAAGTTACAGCTGTGTTCTATGGCCTTCATCACTGTTGTGCCAGGCAACGTGGTGTGCAGCGCACTCTTTCTTCACAAGTGGTGCCCGCTTCTCCCCTCTCTCTCTGTCTTCCTCGTACACATGGAAATCTAAAAGGGAAAGTGAGTTTCGCCAACACTGTATGCAAGTAGTTGAACTATGATTTGCTATTGTATACATTTTATACATTGTATACGTGAATATCGAGACGTATATATTCACCATTGTATACGCATATACAATGCACCCATCACTGGCCATAACTCACGAAACTATAATATTAGCAATATGAAAAAAGTGCTTGTTATGGCAGCCTATGCTTTGTAAGTATACTAGTCGTACTTTACTTCATTCGCCTCAAAAGTTAGTTATAGAACATACATTATTATGAAAAGGTAGGTGTTCAGTTCAAAATACAATCACAGCAAACAAGTAAATAATTTTTTTCGCCGCTACTGGTTCTAACCTAAAACCATCAAATACTTGACATCTCTTGTGGGAGCGTAACGAACCATGCTTCTTCTAACGTTGTAACGTCCTTTGACGCGGGTTAAATTTACCGACAAGAGCCCGAACGTGCCATGTGGCGAACGTTGGACACATGCAATTCGTCAGGGCTCTCCCACACGATGTGGCGAATGGCCATGTGTCCAACGTTGTACGGCATTTGCCACGTCGTGTGGAACCGGTTTAAGCGCTGGCTGGTCATAAGCCGCAAATAGTTTCGACATTTTAAATATACCGCGTATTTATCCAATTTTTTTAATTGATATATAGGGTGTAATTAAAAACATTTAAGCAATATTTAAAGCACATGAGTATTCAATATTGCCGAAAAAGTATTGTAATTGTGAATAATTTCGAAAATATTTTTTGATGTTACATGAATGTTGACACAAAGTTCCTCCTATGCCAAGAACGAAAAAGGCTTGTAGGGTTTGAAAATCTATCCAGCGCCTACGGAACTAAGGGCAAAAGCCGAAAAAAGTAAAAATCGCTCAAAATCCTTCTTTTAGCGCTTCAGAGGCTCCTGATTAGTATCAGAAATTTTTTGTATTGGGTGTGTTGCAAGAGGTTTGTATGTCGCAATTCTTTTGGCGTTAATATATGTATGCGCTTCTAACTGCGCTAATTATACATACCTATTAGACATCATATTTCGCGCATATATTTTCCAACATATTTGCGCAATTATGATCGCAACGTTGCCGTTGCTGGTCAGACGGATGGGAAATGGGGTGTTAACCCAGAGCTCCAAAGAAATGAGGCTGCCGTGTACAGGCACGCTGATTGCTGCAATTTGAGGATTTATTTTTACTAAAAAGCCCAAAGAGTACACTAATGGTTCTTACGTCTTTTTAATGTCATTGCACTACATGGAAAATTGTACTAGAAGTTGTACTTGACGCCATTTTTTTTTCAGACACTGCAATGTATCATCAAATGGTCCAGACAGCTGTCGCCAACTTTGCTGCGGAAGAGGTTATAGAACAGTGGTGGACGAGAAGATAGAACGCTGCCAATGCAAATTCTATAACTGCTGTTACGTCAAATGCAAGATTTGTAGAACTCTGACGCAAGTCTATGAATGTTTGTAAAATTAAATACACTTTCTTGTGACTTTTGGAAGATATCTTATAGTTATCTCTCTGGTACATCACTCCCATCTATTTTTTCTGATCAATATATTTGATTAACATATTCTCCAATGCATCCAATTCTATGCTGATGTAGTAAAAACAGAAAGTGCTGGTTGCTAAACAAAACATCAACCTACCGAGCAAATATCAGCCCCAATCTTCCTCATTATTATTCCTAAGATTTCGTATTCTCAAAATTTCACGATGGAAAGAAAATCCCATAATGTGCGATCGAGGGGTAGCAACGCTGGAACTTAAAGCCGGTGGTCGACAGGTATGTACGAGGGACACCAGAAAAGAAGTCTACCTAGCCGTAAAAAACATTTGAAAATACCATCTAACCATAATTTGAGTTAATTTTGATAATCAGTTTCCAATTTATAAAGTGAATTGTGAGGAAAAATAAGTAACTTAAAATTAGAGTATCGCTGTGTCATAAAATTTCTGACAAAATAGAGCCATCAGCCGAAAATAATTCTTGGCAGAATGGTTGCCGTCTAAGCGGATGCTGCACCATCTTATTAAAAAATGAAATTTTGTTCGAATCCATAGAAGACGATCCCAAAAGTGGATGACCCAAAACATCAATAAGTAACAATTGATGGAATGACTCAAAAAGTTGAAGACATGGTTCTCGAATATCGTCATGTGAAGGTCTTTACCATTAGTATGACATTGAATATATTGCAACCAACCGTAATAGTGATCATGCACGATAATCTGAACAAGTAAGGCCCGTATCGTCAGTCGACCCTACTGTACTTCTCCGTGTCAGCGCTCTATTTTGAGGTTATGTCACAAACATCTATTTGCATCAAATTGTGCTTGCTTTTGAGTTATATCATGTTTTATCAGCCTGAAATTTCCTACAATTTGAAAAGAAAACATATCTTTACAATAGGAGAGCGCTGACGCTGACACGGGACAAGTGTAATCTAGAAATTTTTGAAGGAGAGAAAGGAGTATGACAATTAGGGATGCCATAAACGCGCCCTACAATTGTAGGGATGACTGACGATACGGGCCTAAGATGTCAGCCAGATGGTTTCATGACTGCTGACACCTGAACAAAAATTGTGCAGGTTGGAAATTTCGGAAAGTCAAGAATTCTGACTATTTGGCACAAATTGTGATGGGCGACGAGACTTTGGTACATCATTGGGATCCTGAGACAAACACAATCTAAGCAGTGGGTTCATAAAGAGTCTCCACTCACCAACAAGGTATTGACGAATCCCTCTGCTACAAAATTGATGGCAATAGGTTCTTGGGTCATCAGGGGAATCCGTCTCATATATACTAAAGGGACAATAATAAATCGGACTTCTATGCGAACACGCTGATGAATTTACGTAAAGCAATCAACCAGTAAATACCCGATTTTTTCAATCGAGAAGTGATTTCGCTTCATGACAATGCGACCGCATATAAGGCTGCCAAAATTAGACCAATTATGCAGGAATGCAGCTTTGTTTGAATAGACCATCCACCCTATAGTCCGTACTTGTATCTCTTTAGATTACGAAAGAATAATTATCCAGGACGCCGTTTTGACTCTGATGATGGCCTCAAAGCAGCCGTCAACAACTTTTTTGAGAGTCCAGAGTAAACATTTTTTATAAGGAAGGAGAAATAGCACAAGTACATTGATAAGGGGGGATTATATTGAAGAATAAAATTATCGAAAAAGTCTTTTGTTTTATGGCTAGGTAGACTTCTTTTCTAGTACCCCTCGTAGTTGTAGCATCACATGAAATATGCTGGTTTTAACTTAGACAATTCTTTCAAAGGATTGGGTATGTTTTCGTGGGATATGTTACTCAATGCCAATATATGAAGCCATAGATGATGAATGAAAACGTTACTGACATTTCAGCTATTAGCGTAGGTTCGGTCGCACAGGTATGAATTAAAATTAAAAATTAAAGCTGAAGACGAGGTTATAATATTAACATAAAAGTGACATTTGTTGATTACCATAATAGCCGAAATGGCAGAACAGTATTTTACCTAAATAAAGATAAAATTAAAGAATATACTTTGTCAAATTTGCTTTTAGCTTTACATTATTTGTACTTAGGTACTTTTTGTACATATTCACTTAGACGTCTATCAAAATATAGTATTTATTGTATTATTTATTATCTTTGTGGTCCCACTAAATAAAAAGGTATTGTGTGTTTTTATACTTCAAAAGTATCTGAGAGATGCACATCCCTCAAAAGTTTTAATCTCTGAATTACTCTCATCTTCCCCCAATTTTCTAAAATTTGTCGGCCGACCCCCAGTTTTGATTTCAGATTCGTGTGCAGCGTGAAAAAGTATATGGAAAAAACATAGCCGGAGCCCTAAGGACACACCATCTTTTTATTTTGAGGGCCTGTGTAATTTCTCAGTGAAAAGGCACATTAACAAAGTTTTGGAATATAGATAGTCTTTAGCAGCTTTAAACGGAAGTCGCTAAAAATACTGTTGTATCCACAAATTCAACTTTAAAAATGTGCAATATTCTGTATTATACCCCATTCGTAGACCACTTACTCCCTGACAAAACACAACATGCCCAAAAGCGAGATTGTACAGATCCGTATTTTCCTCAATGGTCTTGGAATAATCGAACAAAATAAATGATTATTTTTATAGAAAGAAGTGCACATACTTTTCACAATTCTTTATTCGCTGGAAGTACTTGAATCATCGTCCGAATGGTTAATATTAATTATTACAGGTTCCATTTTGAATATCGATCATATTGTCCAGAACCCACATCTTTGTTTCAATTGTCTCTTGAACGTGACGGATGCAATCTTTCCACTCGTTTGCCATCCCTCTGTTGACAGCTTCACAAAACAAATTTTGCACGTGAGAAAATTTGAATGTTCTATTGTTTGAAGTCATATAGTTTTTTATATTTGCCCAAATCATTTCAATGAGATTTAATTCGCAGTGATAAGGGGGTAGCCTTAAAACGGTCTTATTTTGGTTTTTATCCATTTCGCCAATAACATTAACATTTTGTGCTGACTGACTAATGGATAAGTTCTGCTTTGACCATATTTTCATTGATACGAGCCATTGTTGAATTTCTGCCCTTCTTATTGACATTGTGGGCATTTTTTCTAGTTTCCTAGTCCTAGTGTGGTATGCAGCATTATCAAGTACAATGACGGCATTGTCGTCAAGCTTTAGGAGCATTTCTTCAAACCATCGTTCAAATGAACTCCCGTCCATTTCCTCATGGTAGTCGGTCATTTTTTTACTCAAATGCCAATAGGGCAGTGGACAGAAAGCCACCTTCACTGCCAATGTGACAGATAACAAATCGTTTTCCCTTTCCTGGAAATAATTATTCCACATAATATTCAAGAAAACTAATAATAATACGAGTAGAGCATCTAACAGGTGTTGGTTCCAAATCTACCAGATATAGCGAAGTTTAGTGTAGCTAAGTTTTCAGCGTGGGCTCATAGATTGATACTTGATACCATTTTTACAACACAAATGACGAATTGGTTAGATACACGTACCTGACGGACTCTTTAGGCCAGGGGTTAGTCCATCTAAGAAGCATTGTCTTGCTGATTTAATTGTAGAGTCAGCCCATACTTTAGGTTTTGTATGTCGTGCATTTATCCAGGTTTCATCCAAGTATAATAAATCTTCCTGCCCTGGTCGCGGTATTTCCTTATCGATTTTAAATAATTTCTGCATAAAATAATCTCTTGGCTGTCCATTAAAATACTCTGTCCCATTTTCTATATTCAAAATGAAGTAAACTAAACCTTTTGAAAGCAGGTAAGTCTTCATCACTATTAGCCTCCTGTAATACTTCGTCTATGGTGGGAAGTTCCTGCCTTTCAAAAAATTGACGGACTTTGCATCTGATGGCATTCCGATCAAAGTTATCAACTGTGTCCAACAGCTTCGTGTAATGCAGCCTCTTGTGTGGTGGAGACAATTTTTTGTTTTTTTATATTCTGTAACAATGTTGAAAATTGTCTTAGGTCTTTCAATATCATGAATTTTCATTTCAGGATGCTCTAAAATTTCGCTCTTATTAACGTTAAGGACAATTTCTTTTGCGTGAATATTCAAATGCTCCTTGTTGTCACGTTTTCGAGGAGGAGACTTCACTGAAGAGGAAGCATGGCTGAAGGAAGCATTGGGAGAAATATTCTCAGTTTCATCTGCTGTATCCGTGGACGACATGCTAACGTATAAACACACGCTACGTATGCACCGAATATGAACAGCAACTGCCGGCGATACCCCGAGCCTGAGTTCTATCCCGTCGAATCCTGCACTTCGAATGACTAATAGCTATTGCAACGTTTAGGTGGCTGCCGCTTTGCTGCGCTGCATAAATGGTCCACGAATAGGGTATAGACAGACTCAATCAAACCTTGATTACAGTTTATGATCAAATTTGGGGAATCCAGAGATTCAACTTCTAGTATTCATTTTAAATATCTTTGGGGTTCCAGATTCTGGGCATTTTTCGTATGTCAACATTTTGAAACAGATACAGAAAAACGATAGATAAACACCATTGTATAAGAAATGGAATTTATTTTGAATTGTAATGTTGACATGTGTACATAATCTCACTCATTCACGAAAAATCTGTACATAAACGTAATAAATAAAATTTACATCTTAGTTTACAGCTACAATTCTGAATGTACATCTGCCTTATCTGTAAATGAAAATAAAAATATATAAGTAAACAGTCTAGAATTTTATTTTGAACGCACTAAAATCGTGAATAATTTTCAAAGTGGAATATCAATGGTAGTCGTTCCACTTCACTTTTTTTAAAAGCTTATTATTAGATTATTTCTGGCACGATCAAAACAAAACTGAAGGGATCAAATTAAACAAAAATTAGAACTCCTACGTCTGAGAAGCTTTTGATTATTTTACTTTGAAACAAATCCCACTTGCATTTAAAATCGGAAATAATAATCTAAAGCTGGAATATAGAGAGTTATTATATAGAGTTTCCTAATCATGGTAAGAAGATTCAGGGGGTGATCCATTTGGTCGTTTTAAGAAAAAAGTTTCTGAGTTTAGGCCTATGAAATATAAATCTTCTTATAACGATTTGTTTCAAATTTGTTGCAAGTATTTGAAGAAAAAGTTCGAAATTGTTTATTTTTTATCTTTAGTTTGTATTTATGTTGTCCGCCGATAGTTTTTAGCATGAGTTGAAGTGATTTTTATTTATTTAGTTGCTTATTCTAGATTACAAAAACTAAAAAAAGGTGTACTTTATTCCAATAATTAGGCCATGGTGCTCAGTGATACGACGCTGGACTTAATAATTTCAACCTAGTTAGAGCTAAATAAGCGCCTTATTACTTCAAATGAAAGCACCCAATTTGAACCAAATCAGTTCAACGACATTTCTTATATTTTATACATGTCCCTTTTTTAAACTTTACTACACTGTTTCTCAGAAATGAAGCAACTCCGGACATACATACTATGTTGATAAGTACGTTTTTCTTAAAACGACCTAACAAGTCACCCTCTGTATCTTTTGTACCCTGTATCTTTGAAATTCCTCTACAACTTCATATTGAGGTGAAAAGTTATTATCTCACAGCATATTTTAACGAAATATGTTAAATTCTTCTATAGTTGATTTACCTTTCTCACTTTGCTCGTGATGTTCCTCAGAATCAAATAATCCTGCATCAATTTTCTTTTGCAACTTTCTTATTTCTTCATCATAATCTTTCCACTCCGGTAAAATTCTAACAGCTGCCGTCAATTTTGCTTCCTTAGTCATAGGATTATTGCACTGAAATTTATGTCAGTCGTCAGATATTCAATCTTTAACTGTTATCTGTTTAAAGGCATAAAAATCCATCCAAAATGTATCATGCTAGATTTGTGATAGATAGATAAGTATGCTTTATTGTCTGAAGAATACAGGCATTCTTAAAACTAAAATATAAAAAATTAAAATATGTGGATCTTAGGTAGAACTCGTATAAGGAATAATATGGTTTATTTATTTGAATCTTTTTGCGGTAAACTGTTGATTCTTTTGATAGCAACAGGGAGGAACATGTAAGTTATTAGAAATGATTGAATCTTTCACATGTGTTGATTTAGCTACTATTAATTCAAGATTTTGAACAATAATGCACAGTCATTATTTAAGATTTAGAAATAATGGCCTGTATGTATCTCTAGGATTTTTTCTAGTTATATATTTATTAGATAGTTTTTGAAGTATAAGTACTTTTTTCAAATAGTTTTGATAATGCTGAATCTTAATCTACTTCAGAATAATGCAAAGTAACTGCTTAACGGGGCTCCTTCAATCACGAGCGCCATCTGATGAGGTAACGGGGAGAAAAGGAAAGAGGGTAGGCTGGCCATAGACGCTCGTCGGCGCTACTTTAAAAGAGGAAAGGATGACTGCGGGTGCGTACCGAGGTAAATTTTTATAATAACAGAGTCGGATTTCGATTAGCGATCTAGCCTGTAAATCGTTTCCTATTTTGGTACTCAGCAAGTGATCATTTAGTATTGTTCTACCCTTGTTGTTGTTCGTCGATATTGTGTTGTCGAATTGTTGTGCTGTACTCTTGTTGGTGTGATTTTCTTGAGTGACTTGTTTTATCAAGGTTGATAATGGACAATAAAAGGTCATATGCGACAATTTTAATTACGAATGCAGAGTTTAACTCATGATGAGGACAACGATAGTGTGGAGCAGTTCAACTCTATAATCGCAAAATACATTGGGGTAAGCGAATAAATTATTGCTAGAATAGGTCATACCATGGAAGATGTGCTGCAGCTGTAGTGAGCCACAATACCGAGCGGCCTGTCTATGTGGGCCAAATAAATTTGCGTTCTAAGCTTAGTCCAACCTCGCATATCACTAAGATGGAACAAAGACTCAAACGTAAAAATCTTGAAAAGAAACTCAGACCAAAAAAAGCCGATATAAAAATAACTAACAATTCGGATAGCAATTCCAAAGAAAATGAATAGTTTTATGTCGAATTCTGTCATAAACCAGACATGAACGACTTTGATTTGGAGGTTGCTTAGCAAGAATTTTTAGGGAAACTTAGAAAAAGTGACGACGAGATTTTGCAGATCGAACAAATCACCAAATCACAGGACTGTACTTCGTGGCGTCTTCATCGGAGGATGAGGTTAACAGCGTCTCGATTTGGTGAAGTTTGTAGAAGAAGGCAGAGCAAGCTGTAAAGTTCTAGTAAACACCATCATATACTCAACAGTTTTCTAGTAAGACACTAAAAAAAAGCAATACAAAAATCATGGGACCCGGCAGTTCTATCTTGTGGGTTGTTTATTGATCGCACACATCCATTTCGGGCAGCATCACCTCCATCTATCTATTACAGTAGACAAGACATGTACTTAATCCAGGTATAAGCCAACCTGTTTATTGCTTTGTAACGGTTTCACCGTCCGATCGTATTTATTAAATCACTTCTCGATTATCATTTCAGAATCGCAAATCATTAATCCCATCTCTAGCTTTTTTGCTTGGAAAATTTTCCGCTTGGAGCGCTTGATGCGGAGTTCCTGATCTGCGATCTTCCTCGCGTTTCCTTTTCACTTGAGCCGCCGATCTAGCAAGAGCTAAGAATTTTGTTCTCTGTAGCATGAGGTCGTATAGCACCATGTGCTAGAATTTTGTAGAATGTGTGTCCGAATAGGACAAAATGATTGGGGCCACCCCCTTTCTCTTTCCCTTTCCCTTTGCCTTTGTCTCTGACTTTGCTTTTGCCTTTGTCTTTGACTTTGCATTGCTTGGCCTATCACTTCACCCATGCATGTGCCTTGGCAGCGCCATCGCCTTTAAGTTCAACTTCGCCTACATCTAGTTCTGAAGCCACTAAATGTGAGGTCACCCCTCATAACTGGGACCTCCACTTCAAGCACCTGGCCATCCTCGCTTCAGTAAAGTCAAAATGGACCAGCGAAAGATGAGTTGATAGTTTTATAGCAGCGCCAAAGATTTAAAACTTATTTTGTTCTTTAAAACTTTAAAATTGTAATGTAATGAAAATGCTTTTTTTGTTAAATAAAATCTGTTAAATTTTTGTGTTCTGTTTGTTCTTCTATCCTCTAGCCATGCCATGGTCGACATACAGCTACACGCCTGTAGATGTCATCATGCCACCGACTGAGCTACCGGAAGCTAATGGTAACCCCCTTTCTGTGATTGTGCAGAAAAGTTGGAATCTTCATTGCATTCCATCTTTTCTGGACTTTTTGCGGAAAGGAAGCGTTACAACTTTGCAAAAACTACCTAACTGTTTCCTCTTATTTTGACCGCATAAGATATTTTTATGACCCTCGTTCAATTGTTACCATCTACCACATGACTCTTGTAAACATAATTCTTGTTATTGACATGAATAAACGAATTTGAATTTGAGTTCTTGAATTTATTTTAGGAAAGATATAAAATTATTTAAATACATTTGTTCTTAGTCGGAACGCACCGATTTGCACTTCACAGCCTCCGTTTCATTTTTATTATTTCCAAATGAAACTCTTGCAGCGTGCTAAAAACAAAGTCCACGGGGTGCCAGCGATCCACTTTCTCGATTTTATCTTTTTAAATATCAAGAAGTTGAGCACAAATAGTAAGCATTTCAACCCACCATAATTCTTGCACAAAGACAAAATTTTGTAAAAAGCTCTGATAGCACCCTAGGCAATTATGTCCTGCTTATATCCAGAAAAACATCACAAACTGCAGAACACATATTGAAGGTAACGGCGAAATGGGTTCATTTCCCTTGTCATGAAATTTAAATGAAAAAGCAGGTATAAAATCTACCAAATTATCATTCTCAAAAACATATTTCCTTGACATATCGATAATTTTAAAGTTCCACGCTAAATTCTTCTATACTTGACTGGAGCGATATCCGAATTTATTCTTCCCTACTGTCGGTAGTTGCAGATCTGTTGGCTCTTGGTGTCAAACCTATAGAGCAGGTACCGATTTTTTCAAATCGTGAGCACATTATTCGTCGGATTTTCGATACTTAAGTTTCCTGTAATCACTGGGATCAGAAGCTTCTTAGTAATAGAACGTGTTTCACCGATTTCAACCCGCCCTTTTTAAGCAGTGCAATTTTTTTATGTCAATGATTAGGAACCCCTCAAACGTCAAAAACGGAGTTTCAGCAATTGTTACTTTTTCTTTTTTGCCTATAGCACCGTTGCCACTGGACTAAAACTACAAAGCTTTGGCATACTAGTAACCCCGTGTGGAAATTTCATAAAAATCCGAGCGGTAATTTCCAAGTTGATGATGAGTGATACAGTTTTTCGAGATGTAGATGTCATATGACTTAAAAAAACATTACATCTCATTTTAGAAATTTCTCGAGATTACAATACTTCCTCGCCAATGGCGTGGGAAGTAAAACGGCTTTAAAATGTAGGAGTATCAGCGATCGCGATTATAAGTACCTATTTGCAGAACGACTTATCTACGCGATATTATATGAAATAGGGCCACCAAATTATCTGAATACGTTCTTTCTTAGTCCGTACATTGCGCCGCAACGCTTGGGTTGGCAGCACGAAACGGTAGACAAAATTCGGTACAAAATACGATTTGTAGAGGTTTGCGCGCTTCGAAATTTATTTTTTGATGTTTTTGGATTTTTATTTTCAAGTGTGCTGAAAACAAAACCCCACAGGGTGCTATAGAGCCCCTTTTTCATTTTTTTCACTAGGTTCTTTTCAAAACAATCGCGAAGTAGAACAAAAAAAGTGCGCAATTCAACCCATCTTAAAACTTGTGCAAAAACAAAATTTCAAAAAGTGCTTCTATAGCACCCTGAGCAATTATCTTCTCAACATACTGTATGAATTTCATTCAAAAATATTGATAAATAGAGTGTCAGTTTTGAAGCAGCTGAACCCTTGTAAATGGCTTGAAACTCGCTGCGTCGGAGCCGCCTTAAGGCTGTGCTTTTCTCTACGTTGTAACTAACTGTTCTTATATGGGAAACCTTCGCTAATTGAGTATTGAGTAATCAGTTGCCTGACATGGTTGGTAAAATCTAATTTGTGATCAATTGTTAGTCCCAACAATGTAATGCTGTTTTATGAAAACCACTATTTGTATTTATTGAATATAATATTAAAACTAATAAACTTTGTCTTATTTGCATTAAAAGATACGTAATCGCTATCACATCATACTTTGACTACTTGTATATCACTCTTAATTTCATTTGCAATTGTTTGTTGCCAAAGTATCATTTTTTACATCGACGTAGCCGCACAGACAGAATCCTAAATGCCATGGCACCGTGGCTGCTATGAGGAGCTTGAAAAACTTTATTAACCCGATTTTTGAACTGTCTAAGGTTAGTAGAACTAGAAAAAACCTCATAATAATTAAGGAGAAGAGCTTTGAGGAGCAATGCCCGTTGGCGTAGCGGTAGAAGAGAGCTAGATCGCCGACGGTCCGCCGGTGCGAAAGGGTCCCGGGAATGTCCGTTAGAGACAGTCATCGATCAGTCGGACAGCCCTCCTCTGAAGAGCATCAGGCATAGATAATGTAGTAGGGGCGGTAGCACCCCAAACATGTGAGCAGTACTTGAGGGTAGGTCTTTTCTGAGCATTGTACGGAAGGATGGTATCATCAGCAAAATTATAACTTTCCCATTTATGTTTAAATCTACTAAATTGTTGCGTTTATATTTAATTTGTATGAAATGAGATGTGCTGACCCTTTTATAATTTGGGATCAGTTATTTAAACATGTTTTAAGCCAATTGAGCCAAGTTCCAGTACATCCTCACTTTATCCATCTTAAAAATAATATAAATATCATGATTCACACAGTCAAAAGCTTTGGAAAAATCACAAAAAGAGACAACTCAAATTTGGTTAATGTTTAAAATTAACTGTAACTGGTGAGGTAATGTGAAAATAACACCTGTCGTATTTTTTGGTTTTTGAAATCCAAACTGGCTCTCACTTATGCATTTGTTGAGTTTTAGAAAGTCTCTTAATCTAATTTGAACAATTTTTCCAATCATGTATGCTATAGCTATAATAAAACTTGTTGATCTATTACTTGATGGTATGTCAAACTAGATCATACTTCGAATATCTCCGTTGGATGCGTGAGCCAATTTTAGTTCTGGTGTCAGGGGTTATGAACGTTGGCACACAATAACCGAAAAGTCAAATATCCTACTCACCAAATCGATTGTTTTTGCTTTTTCTTTCGACGTATCATCACACCAAGTTTCACACCATAGCCATTCTTGAGGCAAAGACTTGATAGCCACTTGATGGATCATATTATTCGGAAGATCTTGGTCCAAATTAGACAAACTATTCGGGTCCTGACTCAAAGCTTGATACTGCCCTCTTAGTCTATCTCCAGCTGCTATCCTTCTGAACCTATAGTCATAAAAAATGACGTCAAGTAGGTTGGATTCCTACGCAATTCTGGACAAATGGACTTTGTATATGCATCATGCATAGTATTTGAGACTACTTCTATATACTCTGGTATCTTTATAATTCGCCGGCTATGAAAACCCTTGCACCCTGATATGAGGTCATAGAATAGACTGAATATCCAATATTGCTTTCTCCTTAGGCTCTGGTATGTTTACTGCTGGCCGGCCATAAAAATCCTTACTGCTGGTCATGTAACATACCTAATGAATTAGATTGGAGAAAAAGTATTGGTAGTTTAATTTCTTTTTTTTAATAATCATGGACAATAATTGTAGCCCTGGTAATATTTGCTTGTAGAACAGATACTAAAAATTGATGTGATTCTTCATTCCAGAAATATATTCATATTTGCAGAAAATATGAGCGTCTATTTGTCATTTCACACCAAATAACAACAACCCTAACCTTGCCTTCAAAAATATTCAAGAATGATCAGGAGTCTGTCAAACTTCAAAAAACGATGTTTGAGCGGTTTTTATTTCTTTTTTCTTTTATCACCTGAAGCTTCGCCGCCAATACACCGAATTTAACAAACTACAAAGCTTTTTCGTGCTTGGCATAGTATTAACCTAATGTTAAAATTTCATCAAAATCCGAGCGGGATCATCCAAATTACAGACGGGCCAAGGGTTAGCGGACAGACAGACAAACCGACAAAAATCAGTGACATGATTTTTCGTGATGTACGAGTCATGTAACATTCAAATAACATATCTCAAAACTTTTCTCGATTATAATACTTCCTGGTCAGTGGCGTAAAAACAAGAAAAATGAGACAAATCCTTGTATTCATCCGATAAACTTCTTCGCCGGTGAGTGTTTGTTGTGTTTTGTACTCATACCTTTTCAAGTCCACAACGTAAAGAGCAGAAATGTGGTATTTTCGCCCCTGTAAGTGGTTCCTCCAATAACCATGTTTCCAAAATCTGAACCCGTCCATTTCTTTTCTTGAATCGCAGAATGGTGTATAACCATATGGGGCTCCACCAAGATCTAGGTCGTGTAGTTCTTTCAGATCGGTTCTAACCACCTATTCAAAGCATAAAAAAAATAATGAGAAATTGGAACTTCACAAATGATATAAGAGAGCATCGTGGCTAACTGTTACTGTCACTACCAAGGAAAACAGATCAGCTGTCAGCGTCTCAGTGTGTATGGAGTTCTCAAAGTCATTTTTTAAAAGTGGCACAAAAAATTCCTAAGTACAGCATATTCTTAAAATAAAATGGCTATCATCCCAATTTTTATTGGCAAATAATGTACGGAACATATGATATGTGAAATAGGTGCGTAGAAGTACGTTGGGGCGTATAAATATACTAACATCAAAAAAATCGAAATTTACTCTCCTCCACCACTCACAACCAGCAGCCCTCAATTTTTTATTCTAATTTTTTTTCTGAAAATGATCAGGAGACTCGAAATGTCAAAAAACAAAGTTTGAGCGACTTTTATTTTTTCGTGTTTTTGCCTATAGCTCCGCCGCCAGTGGACAGATTTTCAAAATAAAAACTTTTTCGTCCTTGGAGTAGTGTGAAAATTTGAACCAAATCTGAGCAGCCCTCTCCAAGTTATAGGCAGTACAAATATTAGCGGACAGATAAACCAATAGACAGACACACCCATAGACAGACACACCCATAGACAGACACACCCACAGACAGACACACCCACAGACAGACACACCCACAGACAGACACACCCACGGACAGACAGACACACCCATAGACAGACACACCCACAGACAGAGCACCAGGAAGGCAGATAGATTGACCGACGGAAATGAGTATCATGATTATTCGAGATGTCATATAACCTCCAAAAAAAATATCTCATTTTCGAAAGTTTTCGAGATTATAACTACTCCTCGCCAGTGGCGCGGGAAATAAAAATGTGTAATACAAATTGCTAAGAGGTCTATGAAGTTTTTTTTGTTTTACCTGATCTGCATCCACGAAAATGATCTTCTTTACGTCTAAGGGGAACAACACATCCAAAAATAATATTTTGTAGCCCCAGATGATTCTTTGCTTTTCAGTTTGTTGATGAAGCCATCTAGGCCATTTATATTGGACTAATTCATACTCAAAACCATATTCTTTTGCCATGTAAGGTAAGAAATCCTGAAATTAAATATTGTATATTTTGGAGTGTATCTTTTCATATTAATAATACCTTGATTTGAGGAGATAGATAGTTTTTTAGGAACCAAAATTTCACTGGTGTCTTGGTATGCTTCAGAACAGATAACATCATTATTTTAAGGAATCTCTCATAAAGATGGCCTGATGCAACAGAAAAAATGTTCAATTTTTCTTCTGGCTTATCTTCGTTGCTTGTAAACGAGCTACAAAAAATCATTTTTTCGTTAGACCCCATTTTCTTTTAAACAAAACTGTTTATTCTTCTACTGGTAGAACATGTTAATCAATGGTGAAAATGATCAATTAAACTTCTTTCTACAGATTAAGTAACTACGAACATACCTCAAAATCCTATAAGCATGCAAAAAACTAGAGTTAAGTCATGCAAAAACAGACTAGTCAAAGACTTACCTAGTTATAGAATTCCAGATTCCAGAATTATCATCATCATCCGCTAATAGATCCACATTCATTCTATCTGGTTTCTTTTGTACTCTTAATTTGACTATATGAGATCTGAAGGAACTTATAAGTACTTTGATATCAGTCGAGTTTGAAGGTGTATCAGTACCCTCGTGACTGGAAAGTAAACAGAAAACTATATTTAATATTTGAATAATTTGAAATACCTGAAACTTTTGAAAATCAATAGACTTTTGAAAATCTAAAGAATCTATGGATTTTGGTGAATTTGAGAATTTATTGTTAGAGAAACTACCGAAATTAGCCTCGAAATTCCAGAAAATCAATAGTTTAGAGGATTTAGAGTTTTGGAGAATGTAGGGAATTTACAGTTCAGAGAATTCACGGAATAAAGAGAACTCACAAGTTTAGGAAAATGGAGAATTTAAAGAATTTAGAGCTCAGATGATTTAGAAAATTGAAATTTAGAATTAGAGAATTTAGAGAAATTGGAGAGTTTAGAGGATTTGAAGATTTTAGAGAATTGGGGGATTGCAATAATTTAGGGAGAATTTATAGAATTTAGGGAACATCGGAGTTTAGAAAATGTGGAGAATTTAGAGAAATTAGTGTTTATTAAATTTTAAGAATCTGGCGGATTTAGTGGTTTTATGGAATTTAAAGAATGTATGGAGTTTCGAATTTAGATGATTTAGAAAAATTAGAGCTTGAAGAATTTAATGAAGGCTTTAAAGGATTTGTAAAATTTAGAGAATAAGGAGATTTCAAGAATTTAGGAAAAATTTAGAGGATTTTTTGAGATTTGGAAAATATAGGGTATTTAGAGTTTAGAGAATAATTTATAGAATTTGTAGAATTGAGTGTTTATAAAATTTTAAGAATCTGGCGGTTTTAGTGGTTTAAGGGAGTTTGAAGAACTTCAAGTTTAAATGATTCAGAAAAATGAGAGCCCAGAGAATTTAGAGAGCTTTTGAAAATGTAGTGTTTAGGGAATTTGGAAAATTTAGAGAATTTAGTGAACTTATATTATATTATTATTATATAGATTATTCGTAAAAATTAGAGCTTAGAGAATTCAGAGAATTAGGAGACTAGATAATTTGGAAATTTAAAGTATTGGGGGATTTTAAGAATTTAGGGGGGACTTAGAGATAATTTCAAGAAATGCAAGAATTTACAGAATGTAAGAAACAGGGTTCATAAACTTCAGTTAATCGAGATGATCAGATAAAGTTTAGCGAATTCCAACAATTTTGAATATTCTCATAAGTCTTGAAATTCTGAAAAGAATACAACATTCTGTTACCTCACGATGTCATAAATATCAGCACTCCTCCCCTGCCTTAGTTTTAGCAGCCACGCACCAGGATTCGCCTTCAGTTGGAAGTAGCCCAAGTTCGCCATAACAATGGTGTCCACCATAACAGGTTGGCTTTCTGTACCTAGAGTTATTTGCAGACCTCTTGGCGGACTCCCAGTATTTTGTTCGAAACAGTGGCCTTCTACCAACAGGTATTCTAGCTCATATTCACTGAAAGCCATAAAAACCTTGTTATAAAAGATAACATTAAAAGGCATCATATTAGGTATACCTCGACAACGAGGTCCAATTCTATTCTTAGTACGATTTAATAAATTTGAATATGCATGATAATTTCATAGTTTTTGCTGACGATACCATAAAAAACAGATACAAATGAAATAAAAAAAATTGACTGTGATAACGACTACTTATCATTTAATGTAAATAAGACAAAATTTATGAGAATTGAAATAGGGGTTTCATTTAAGAAAGCAGTCTTGACCTTCAAATGACCTTGAAGGCCATAGTCAAGATCACCATTAGATGAATCTTTTCAAATCTTAGAACTTTGTTTGTTTGTCGAAAATTTAGCATTAACGCTACAATGTCAATTTTGTATAATTACTCTTTCACACATTTTTTAATCAATTTTCTATAATTTGACATTAACAGTACATTGTTATATGTTTTGGGTATTAATAAAGTGCTTTTTTAATTTCACCTTGAAACATTTTCAAATTCGAATACTGTTTAATATCATCATTCAATTTTTAAATTCAAATACTCCCCTTTGAAATAAAGAATTCCTAGTTATGCTGCTATCACAGTTTTGCAGAAGAAAATCAATACTGCCTCTGATTTCGTAGTTAATGTAATGACTATTTTTGTGTGAAGTTTTCCAAATGTGGTGGTAATAAATGAATTTTTAATTTGAATATGAAAATGAGAAATAATTAACATTTTTTTACATTTAACCAGTGCATTTCTTCTAACATAGACTCAATCTTAGCATATTTGTCTTTATTTAAAATGATTCTCACAGCTTTATTTTGTAGAATGTCATTTTTAAAATATGATTTTATTTGCTGTAAGTAAAATAGTTGAACGATATAAAAAATGGGAAAGAATTCAACATTTTCTCTAGGAAGCGTATTTTTCGAGATATTTTGATCTAACCTAACTTTTTGAACACCCTGTATATTTTCGCGGATAAAACCACATCTATAATCTTCCTCTGGTATCAATTAGTAAGTGTACTAATGTTTACGTCTCTTTGAATTATAGTTCAGGCGTTGATAGACATGACAGACATTCACATTTATACAGGGTGGCAGATATGTAACTGACTGGTTTGTATCTTGAATATTTGTGAAAAGAAATAAAATACGTCCATTTTTGTCATCTTAATCTTTTACTGAAACTTAGAAATTATGTATGAAAAATAATATCAGACAAATGTCCGCCTCTAGAAGCCGCGAAAATCTGAGCCCTCTTGATTACATTTTCCATCAATTTTTGGTAGGTTTCGCGAGGAATATTTTCAATCGCTTCCGCAATATTGCTCTTCAGCTGCTCTACAGTATTTGGTTTGTTGGCATAAACCCCATTTTTCAAAAATTCCAATAAAAAGTCAGGAGACGTTAAATTCGGTGACCTTGGTGAACAGTTGACATCACCAAATCGAGAAATTAAACGTCACGGAAATATTGTTCGCAAAATATTCATTGTTTCTATAGCAGTGTGACAAGTTTCTCCGTCCTGCTGGAACCACATCTTTTGCAGGTTAAATTGTTGGATTTGAGGAGCCATAAAGTTTTGCATTATATCACGGAAGCGCCAGTGACAGTAAGAGAATTACCTGCAGCGTCTTCAAAGAAGTAAGGTCCAATGACACCTCCATACCAAACACCGCACCTCACTGTGACTCGACGAGGATGTAGTGGTCGTTGATGGATGACACAAGGGTTCTCTAATGCCCATATACGACAATTCTGCTCATTAACAAATCCCCTCATATGGTTGTAGTTGTTGGGTTAACTGAATTTTGTATGGCCGCAAATGCAAGTCGTTTATTAAAATAGTGCATAATGACGAGCGACGAATTCGCAGTTCTTGAGAACGATGTCTGGTAGACGTCTCAGGGCGCTCCACAACACGTTCACGAACTCTCTCGATATTTCCGGAGTACGAACAGTTCTAACACGACCCGACCTTGGCGAGTCTTTAACTTTACCTGTTTTTTTCAAATTACCACACCAACTGACGAATGGTGTTGACACTGGATACATTATTTCGACTGAAATCTTGTAGCTTCCGAATCGTTGCAACAATCGACTCATTATTAAAGTAAAACGTTTTAACAATACGGACCCGTTGTGGGATCGTGTAGCGATGAAATGTGTGTATCAAAACTGGCGCGCAACTTAAATCAGTCAATTATATATTGGCCACCCTGTATAAGTAAAATTAATTTATATTAACGATTATATCCTGTGAATTAAATGATATTCCACAAAAGAAAAATATCCTTATAGGTGGATATTGTTACAACGGATAATCCAACATACAATACAGTAATTACAATATATGATCTATGGGACTGATAAGAACAAGAACAAATCGATATAATATAAATGTAACACAGCAATTTTATATTATAAATCAGTAATGTGGAAAATATGTTCTGCCACAATTTTCATAAATTTTATCATGTTAATATCTGTATTTAAAGCCACTCATGAAGATATTTTTTTAATGATATTCTGTATTTTGTTATTGGTAAGTTATGGCATAATAAACGATTTCAACATTATTTCCTTTTTTGATGTTACAATGATTACTTATTTATTTATTCTAGTATCATATTCATAACTTTTATAAATCTTTGAATGTTTGTTTTTATGAAATTCTAATATACAGAAAATATATACCTGTGGACGTTGCTTTCAACATTTTCAAGCCTGATATTATCCAAATCATAGACAGATCTGACAACTTCAACCAACCAATTTTCAGGTACGTGATAATTTTGTGTCAACAATGGGGAAGAAGGCATATTGCTGAATTTTGCTACTGGTCCAGATAGTTGTTTTCCATCTCCAGAAAATTGAATTTCCGGTTCTATTACAAACCTGTAAAAGCTGCAACAGAAAAAAATAGTGAAGTACGGACATGTTTTATAATAATTACAAAGGCGCACAAAATAAAAAATTGGTGTGCTTGAGGCAGGGGCGTAGCTACCCCAGTATCTATGATACGTTGCTCCCAGATTACAGGGGAGACCACGTACGAAAAAAATGTATAAAGTGTTATTCACAATCTCCCGCAAGTTTTTAGGCCATACGCTAAATTAATAATCCTCAAGCACTAATCCTTAGATTGGACGGTTTGGTGATATTACCAGGCTTCCTATTTTTAACCATCCAGATTACTACTGCAAAAGCTAAAACAAGCTTTTCGAAATTGAAAGTAATTCCGCTATGGATGGCTTAATGAAAAATATATCGGGAAAAAACGCCAAACGATGGGAGCGAGTTTTAGAAATTTCTATAAATTGTATGCTCTCCAGAAAGATGAATGATTTCCTTCAAAAATGTTCAGAAAGTTGTAAAGCATACAAGAACAAAATTCCTGTGGGCGTCCATGGTCAATACGAGGCAATTCATATTATTTAATGCAAGCGTTCTTTATAAAAACCTATACCCAAATTTTACCCTCCATTTGAGATTGGAGCACGCTAGGCCATTGACTTGGGGTCCCACTATGTTTTCCCCATGTACTTCTTCACGCTGGTCACGAATCTGAAGTCAAAATTGGGGATCGTTGGACAAATAAGAAAATAATTCATTCATTCAATTTTGGTGTATATTAATCTTTTCAGAGATCTTTGAACACATCCATCAAAAATACTAAATTATTTAATTCTAACGTTTAAATTATTTTCATATTTCTCCATCCTCCTCCAATGTTGACTTCAGATTCGTGTACAGAGAGAAAAATACATGGACAAAACCTATGCGAGATCCCCAGCACCTACCTTTTTTATTTCCTTGAGGACCTGTGGCTCGTTTATATGCATTTTCTCAAAATCTATACTTTTGCTATTTTTCGATATTTTTCATAAAAAACTTTCAAATCACTAATTTTTTCATTTTCTGAAGAATAGAAGTTTTGGATTGTAAAGATTTAAGATGAACCGGTAAGAACATTTTTTTATAAATTTGCCTCTATTTTTCAGTAGTATCTTAAATCTTTTCAATTCAAAGGTCATTTGAAATTTCTATTCTTCAAGAAAATAAAATATAATGAAACTGAACATTTTTTTCTGAAAAATATTAGATTTTTTGACCGCTTGGCCTCAAAAAATGTATTTCATGCAAGCTTCGAAGACTTTTAATTTATCGCAAGCAAAACTAAAAACTCTTTTAATGCGGCTGAGATATTTAAAAAAAAAGAACAAAAAACCTCCATGATTCAATAAAAGTTTCTAAAGCAACTAAGTAAATCAAAAAACGCAAGGAGCACGTCTTTGTATTCCCAACAACTAGCTGGATTTCAACATACATAATACTAGGGTTAGGCTTAAAGGAATAGGGCATTGTTCTATCTAAATTTGTTCAACTCATTAACCAAAAATAAACCATTCCTTACCTTTTAACAGGCATATCACTGTTTTTCTCCACGCTGTTCAAAAACACTCTAATGTTACAATTCAACACTTCCTGCAACACTTGTAGAATAGGCCCTACTTTTTGAGCACCTCTCGATACGGGATCCACAATCGCCACTATATCAAACGCTACTTCGTCCGGCTTTGAAGCAGGAAGTTTTATCACAGAATGGGAATCGCCGGCAAAAGGTATCTCGAAACGGGATTTGGTTTGAGGTCGAGATACCAAGAGGGAGACGATTTTTACTAAGTCGTTGCTGGAAATATCTGAAAAAACTATATCGGATATCGGTAAGTAAACTGGCAACCGGGTATCTTTAGTAGCATACGAATATAGAATATTAGGATGATTTAGAGAATTTAGGGAATTGAGAAAACTTCGAGATTTTAGAGAATTTGGACAATTTAGAAAATTAACAAAACTTATGGAATTTAGAGAATTTAAACAATTTTGGGACCTTAGAGAATTTGGTCAATTAGAGAATTTTGAGAACTTGGATAATTTGAAAAGTAAAAGGATTTAAAAAATGCTGAGAATTTAGAAAATTTAGAGTATAGAGAATGTAAACAATTAAGATAATTTATAGAAATCGGAGAATGTAGAGTATTTGGACAATTTAGAGAACATACAAAATTTAGGGAGTTAAAGAATTTGAAGAATTAGAGACTTTAGAGAACTTGGCGAGTTTGTAAAATTTATAGAAATTAAGGCATTCGGAAAGTTTAGAATTATGAAAATTTGGATAAAGTAAGAAATTTCGAGAATTTAGAGAATTTAGAGAGCTTAGAGAATTTAAGTAATCTAGAGAGTACATTTTAGTATTACATAATATTTCGAGCATATTGCTTTGAGCTCAAATTATACTTTTTTTAATTCAGCATAAAACAACGTAATTTAAAAGTCGCACTACGATAGAGTGTGTCATAAAAAATTTACCTTCATCTTCATCATCTGAAGTATTAGAAAGAACAACTCTGATCTTCTCAAGATACAAAGTATCACTGAACCTTTCCAGCAGACCAAAGTCTTCAGTAGTGAACATTTCGTCTTCTTCTAAAGGTCCTAAAACTCTACCATTTGCTATCACAGCCCTTTCACTTTCTTTAAGTTGTAAAACCCTTTGACAATACACCCTTAGCATTTGAAGGTTGAGCGTTTGCTCTTCAAGTTTTGAGGACACTTCATTCTAAAAGTCAAATGAACAGCGTTAGGGTAGAGAAAATTGTTATTCTTTAGACAGATTTCATTTTTGTTCATGGAAAGTCATATATAAGCCAACTAATATAATCTTGCTTCTTAATATCACGCTCCAGGAGCAAAACGTGGCTTTTAGTGCCTTCATTTTTTACCCTAGTTTAAGATTATGAATTTAAGAACTTTACCGGAAGGTCTAGCTTTTCTCCAGTTTCCAACTTTTCAGCTGCTGAATTGTCTTTCAAAAGTGATATTATAAAATTAACAGCTTTATCTGGTGGTAGTTCTTGCTGTGCCGCCAAAACTATTTTATTCAAGTCACTTTGGCCACTGTTAACATTCGGAATGAAACTAACTCGTACATCACTCTCAGACTTCTGAAAAAGAACAAGAATGCATTAAATTATTTAGTGTAACGCCCTCGAATAACTGGAACTCTGGGTGCCACCGAGACATCCTCGTACATTGACTAGAAGATTCGACAGGTGGTCAGAAGTGGGATCGATGAAACCACAATTACGCGACCATGGGGGGTTAGATGGTAGAATAGATATACTTCGAAGTTGAGTCATTTATTTTAACAGTGAGTAGATCTGATCAAAAGAAATGTTTTTTTCCTTTAACATTTTTCTGGTAAAATTAAAGTAACAAAGTTATAGCCCTTTAGAAGTTTGAGTACCGCCCTGTCTCAATAATAATATTATGTGCTCGTGTTTGGCAACAACGGATATAATCCGCGTTATCGGTTCATCGCATCGGAAACAAAAAAGCGAAATAATTTGAAACGTTTATCACGATGTTTTCAGTCGGTAACGCGTGAGTGAATAGTGGTGTTTGTTGGGTGGCTCAAACGAAATAAAAAATGGCACATGTTTACGAAAATGCTGAACTTGTGGACATGATTCTTATTTACAAAATGCTGCCGCGGCATCACGGATTTGTGCGAATCGGTTTCCCAATCGAGTGCAACCAACCCCTCGTGCCTTTGTTAATATAGTACAAAGGGCTCGTGAATCAGGAGACTTAAGACCTTACAGGGGAGGGCCTGCCGGTGCTCCAAGACCGCACGATCAAATACAGGTCCGCACTGAAATACTTGTCGGGAGGATACTTTATAAAACAAGGTAACATTTTTTTTTAATGTTTTTTTATTTTTACACACATATTTTGGTTTATCTTCCTTCTACAATCATTATCTGAAAATGAATGACTCAACTTCAAAGTATAATCTAAATCTCGCCTCCTGTAAGAATATTACAAATAAAAGACGTTAATTATTATTATTATTATATATGGTGTGGTCGTGTTTCTAAGCAGTTCGCGACGTCATCGCTAGTATTCAACACGAATGTAGATGAAGCTGCTGCCATCTAGACTACTTCTATGGCAGTTCACGACTCGGAATGGAAAACGCTGGAATGGTTCTCAATTCGTCGATAGGTAAATAAATACCCGACCAGATGGCGGAAGCAATCAGACACAGTCGAGCCAGTGGATAGCGAACGCGGAATTAAGATAAAATAATAACCCAGTCGACATAGTTATAAATTTGTTACAAATTAGTTGTAAGTGTTATAAATTCGTGTAGCAGCAAGTCCAACTTTGAGCAGTAAAAGCGTGTTGTCCCTGTATGGAGTGTGGTCGTGTTCCTGGGCCGTTCGAGACGCCATCACGAACATTCGACACGTCTGGAGATAAATCTGCTGCCATCTAGACAACTTCCATGGAGGTTCGTGACTCGGTCTGGAAAATGCTGAAATATTTCTCGAGTCGTTGATAGGGGAATAAATGCCTGACCAGATGGCAGAAGCAATCAATCACAGTCGAGTTCGCGAGCAGGGAATTAAAATGGAATGATAGTCCAGTCGACATAGTTATACATTTGATATACCTACATTAGTTGTATAAATTCGTGTAGCAGTAATAAATTAGACTGCACAGTAAAAACGATGTTTTCGTTACAATATGCAAAAACATTAAGACTCCAGCTTTGAACCCAGACGTTAACAACCGCCCTCAACAAATACTATAATGCAGCAAAAATTAAACAACTGATATCAAAGTTTCTTGAAATTTAATCAAATCCAAAATTTCACAATTATAAAACTGATTTTGATCTTACCAAATGTTCCAAGGCGTCTAGCAACAGTTTCCTAGACTTTCTGCATCCCAAATTTCCAACGATCCAATACGTCATCGAGTGCCATGAGACACCTTTCTTTGGCAAGCTGAAATATCGTATATTTTCTACGGCTGTTGCTGTCATATCTCTCGGACTCAATTGCATTAGCTCTTTTTTACTCAATACTGTTGAGGATGTTCCTGGAATATTATTCAAGTTAAGAGGAAAATGGTGCAAGATTCAAAGAACTTGCAACATCCTCAAACCAAATGATTTTTGGATTATCTAGTTTGAGTAGCTTTCTCCCAAAGTTTCTCAAATTAGATTTTTGTGGATGGGTACGACTCTTCATTAAGTTAATCCATTCACTAAACTCCCTACGCAAATAAAGCTTTAGAAAAGATAAACCAATAGCGTAAACATATTCAGGGTGTCCTATTTAAATGTTTTAAGAACACGTACATTTTGCCATTTTTCCCACACACGTTATAAAGCATCACTCTGTAGAGTGTGGCATGTTATCCAATTAAGTAGCGTATACAGGGTGTCTGCAAAGTTGGGGTTTTCCTTTTCAGACACAGCTATGCTTGATATAACAAAGCTAATGAGTGGTGAAACGTGAGCGAACAAGTAAAAAACTAAATGAAAAATTACTCACTGTTCAGTTGAATTGAAATTCCAAGTATGGCTCAGTCGTAAAATCCGTCTTTACATCATAGTCGTACGTCGTATAACTGTACGCTGGCGCTGGCGACGTGATCGAGTGATAGGAGATGACCGGCTTCGGTTTGGTTCAGGTTTGATTGAGGTTGCGGAGCCCAATATCTCAATTCTCTTAAGACATTGGTGTATATGCTACTAAGAAAATCCGCTCATTTTCTCGTCGTGTAGAGGAAAACCCACCTTTGTGGATACCCTGTATATGCCCACGATTATTGTAAATAACTTTTTAGATATATTTTCTAATGACGAAGCTATCAACGCACTTGGAAACGCAACCTGAATGAATGAATGAATCGTGAAATTAGAGGCATTCCGGCAATCATAAGGAACTAGAGCATAGGCCGCTTAAACGGGCCGTTATGCACCTCTACATTCCTTAGATCACATGCCTCGCCCATTTAGCTAAGTTGAGAATCGCCTTGAGTCCAAACTCCTTGACGTCTTGAGGGTCCAAAGTAATGGACCCCAGTATAGTCTGCCTATAGTAGCTCAGAGCTTCACAGCGACACAAAACGTGCGCCGATGTCTCTTCCTCTACCCCGCAGCGCTCACACAAGGGATCACGTGCAGGTGGCGCCTTAACGTGTTATGGCCAGACAACAGTCCCACCAGCAACCTTAGGTTGGCTCTATCCAAAGATAAGCAGAAACGTCCATCCGTAGCACTGAGCCCTTCAATGAGTTTCCGTGCCTGGCGGACATGTCTGGAGATACTTCTCCATCTCTGAAAGTGTTATCTTGCAATACACGTCTCCATTTGCCTCCTAACTCTATGCGCGGGCACCACTAAAGGTGGCTCAGGAGCAACGAGCTTGCTGGCTGATCCTGTCTTCGCCCGAGCGTCCGCCGTCTCATTGCCCCTTATCCCAGCATGCCCCGGTACCCACATCAACGAACCGGATACTTCACTGCGAGGCAATTCAGAGCCTTCCTGCATTGCAGTTCAAGACTCGAACTAATCTTTCATGCACTTAGTGCCTTCAGTGCAGTCTGGCTGTCGGATAAGATTGTTATTCTTCTCCTAGGCCCACCTCCTCCAGAATGCGAGATATACAAGTCAGAATCGCCAAGATTTCCGCAACGCAACCTGAATACAGGGCGAGTCAGAAAAATTTAGCAAAATTTCTAGAGTAGAGAGGATAAAACAAGAAAACTGTTCGAATAACGCTATTTCTGTGAAATAGGATTACTCTCCTGATTCGCTACATACAATTTTCAATGTCAAACAACGTAATTTCAGCGTGTTTTCAAAGTAGAACTGCATGAAGTTTTTTAAATGATTTCACTTTCAATATTTAAACCATTTTTTTCCGAGAGGAGTAATCCGACAAAAATATCTCGAGAAAATTGAATACCTTATTGAAAATCTAATAAATGCTTCAATAAAATCAGTGGCGTTGGAAATAATTGTTTTTTTTTCTGTAGTAGTCCAAATTTCCCAATTTCTACGCCACTGGTGTAGTCTCAGGCCCGAACATTTTTGTATGGATTAATTCTGCTATATGTACAAAATGTTGAGTCAATATCTTCATCCGCTCCGAAAATATATATTTGTTATTTCAAAATTATAAATTCATATTTTGAAATTGTAAGATCCATGTTTATAAAAAATTTTTTTACCTTTGTGCCCTATAAGTATTGCCATATTTTTTTAATGACCCTACAAAAGTAGTATATCAGTATAACGTGGGACACGTGTGACAATAGCAATATCCTTCATGCTCATTTTGAACATCAAATCAGATATGTGAAGTCCCCTATTCTCCATATGAGTAAACCGATTTCTGGCAATTGTCATGACACTTGACTGCATAGCACGTGTTATGTTGGCAATTTCTTCCTGGATGTTAGTCTTCATATCGTGTAGGGTTCTTGAGCAGTTCCCATGTACACAGGATTCCCAAAAAGATCCATAGAAAAAAATTACAAGTGGCCAAAACGAGACAGACTCCGAATCGCCGCTAATTGAACTGGAACATCCTGGGAAGTGTTCCCTCAAAACAGTCATGGATGCTCTTGAAGTGTGTGCCGTGGAAAAAAGTATGACTTCATTTTCCTCAAAGAACCAGGGATCAATAATTCCAGCTGAGGAAATTGCACACTAAAAGGAATTTTATGCGATTCTCGAGAATTGTCAGCCCAATAGCGCATGCTTAGTTTGTTGACGGATCCAATGAAAGTTACAATTATAATAATAAATATAATATTATAAGAAAACAATAGCGTCCTCAGAAACAATTTCGCGAAGACGCTCACACGCGTTCATCTGAGAACTGAAGTCACATTCAGAGTGACTTGAAAAGCACACTCCTCGCTACTCCAACGCATGACGATGAACTGTTTCTGGACAAAACATTTATAGTCCCGCCGCTCGAATGATCCCACTAGCACTCCGCTAGGACATCAACCGACTAAATGGCACGCATTTTAAAAAAGGAATTTATGCTGACGAACTCTATATTAAATCATTCCGCCTCCTACAACTAGTGTCTCTATGATATACCTGTCATATCCAAATAAAATGACTTCTCCTTATTCAGAATCCTCTCGTTCAACCTGGGCATAACATTGGGCTGATTCATGAGAAACTCCATGACGTCATCACTATCTTGTAACTTCCCTCTATAAACGCTTTTCTGGAATAGTGGCGTTTGCGCCATAACCTCCTGGAGAACGGCTTCTTCAAAATCTTCAACGTTGATCTGGCTTTGAGGTAGAGGAATGCCGTTCATCAAAGCTTGAGGGAAAGCTTTGAGGCCGGTGCGGTCTATAAAGTCTGCGGCTAGTTGGCGGCCAAAATCGTAGTCAGAATCTTCACCTAGAAAATAAGGCCCGTTTTTCAATTGCAGTTTGACGCTCGAGTTTGATAACTATAACTTGGAAGGTTCCTATCAATTGTCCGTAAATTCTATTTTTAGTATTAGTTAACTAGAGATAGGAGGTAAAAGTCATGAAGCGGACGTGAAGCCCAAAATGTCGACGATGAAGTAACTTAGTACACTGCGCAGCAAATTAATTACAGGTGCTGCGCATGTGGCATCTCTCTCTGTTGCTGTCATCATGTCTGTATATAACTCCAATTTTGATAGTTTGAATGCAGAAATATTGGATAATACTAATAAACCACGAAGTAATAAACCTACAACGCATGGCAAAACGTGAGTGCAATGAAAAACCTTGGAAATCAGGTTTTCGCGCTGTACGTGATAACATGTAGAGGCCACTCTTATGCCTTGATTACATGTAACGATTACAGTGGCGAAATAGTGGTCTCGGCCTAGTACTCGGTTAGTATAAACAGGTAACCGAGCGCTCGGCCGAGCACTGGGCCCAGTAGGAGAGCGAGACAGTCACTCGGACCCTTTTCTACTTACTAGACCGAGTTCCAGCCCCCCTACCTACTCGGTATATCGCTCGACACGCGCTCGACAGGTCTGAACAGGCACTCGGTGTGCTATATCACTCGCCATCTAAAGCAACTGCGAAACTGCTTCTAGTTTTATTGTCTGACTGTTTCATCTTTCAATAAAATATGGCTAAGAATAAATGGGACTGTGATACAACAATCAAATTTATCCAACAATATAAATCCCATTCTTGCTTGTGGAATTTCCAGTCGACGGACTACAAAAATAAACAGAAACGGGATGCTGCAATTGTCGCAATAGTTGAAGAAATGGATATTGATGGCTCTGGAGTGCAAGAAGTCAAAAATAAGATTAAAAATTTGAGATCCACGTACATTCAAGAACTGAACAAAATTAATGATTCAAAGGGATCAGGGGCTGGGCTCAGTAATGTGTATACTTCAAACATCAAGTGGCTGAAGGAAATGGATCTGAAAAGAAAGACATATGAAAATGTAAATAGTTTATTTGGTTTGGTTACAACTATGAAATCATTCTATCTTGCCATACAACAGCACCTGCTCCACTAAAGTATTCGGCATACTTGTCTCTGAGATTTCTTGCTATTCGTGGTAAATTATTGGTAGTGTGATCGTTGATAGATGGCAAGGTGGCTATGAGTTCTCGACTCCAAGTCCCTTCAACAATTGTTCCAGAGTCAATATCTTCTACGTCCACGCAATCCTTTGGAAAGTAACAACTGGGACTTGTTAGGCGCAACCAATTATGCAGAGTACATGAGGCTCGAATAATCTTAGCGGTTGTGTTGACGTCAGTTGGTATAGGTTTTTGAAATATTCTAAATCTGCTTGTTAAGATGCCAAATGCATTTTAGTCTATTCTACGTACTCTGGATAATCGATAGTTAAATATTTTGTGTACTCTTGTGAGGTTTGTGCCACTGTATGGTTTCAATAAATATGTCTTCAGTGCAAAAGCATCATCACCAACTAAAAAACCACCTGTTGGTAGCATATTTTTTTCAAGGTCGCTATATAATGCGCTATTTCTGAAAATTCCACTGTCCGAGTTTCTTCCATTTGCTCCGATATTAACATAACGGAAACAGTAGTCATTGTCAACAACAGCCATAAGCACAACACTATTCGTGCCCTTAAAATTGAAAAATTCACTTCCACAGTTCGGAGGTGCTTGAATCAATACATGCTTCCCATCTATAGCGCCATAGCAACTAGGAAAATTCCATGTAGTTCTGAAGCCTGCTTCTATCTTTTGGCATTCTTGATAGTTCTGTGGTACCTGAAACAATACAGGATTTCGGTTATTTTCAGATTAATGGGCCCAGCACTGAAGATACCATTGCACAAGAAAATGACCCCTCCGTGACCTTACAATCCCGCGACACCGAAATAGTTCACGTGCTAGGAAGAGGAGTAGGGATACTGTCAAAGCGGTTTCTGGTTTGAAAAGCTTACATGAGCAAGTCAATTCTGTCGAAGAAAACCCTCTTGACGTGTTTGGGAAGAGTGTTGCATCGCAACTTAAAATTTTTTCGGTAGAAAATGCCTTATTAGCTCAGTGTCGGATCCAAAGCCGTTTGAGCACAGGTATTAAGGATTACAGAGAAAAGTCTGCGCCGAATAATAGCAGTCAAAGATCATCTTCTGTATTTTCAAATTTCACTGATGTTAGTTATACATCTACTGTGTCAACAGACCATGTGACAAACAGATTTGATGACCTCACCCCAGAATCGGACACTCTTCGCACCACGAATGATATTATAACGTTAGCTATGGCTGCTGCCTGTGACAGTGACATCGGGAACGACAAGTTTAATGTCGAAATAAGTTTTGAATGTTTGTTACTTTCATAATAAAACGAATTTACTATTATGTTACATTTAATATCAGCCCAAGAATTTAAGAAACTATTCATTCTCAAAAAATGTCTGATAAAAAAATCACTTACCTTTACATAGTTTTTCAAATAGATATTGCATCCATTACCTCTGGTATGAGTAACGATATTGCAGCTCGAGATATTTTATAGAAGGCTTGTAAATAACGGTAGCTGACTCCTGTTGCAATATATGTTAATGCCACCTGTTGTTTAATCCTTGCAGGTATAGCTTGCCTCATGACAGAATTTTCTCTTTGTATCATTGGAGTGAGACTTTCCAATAATGCATTGAAATGCTCTACATCCATTCTCAAAAGTGCTCTGAATTCATTAGGATCTTCCCACTGCAATTCTCTAAAAAGTGTGCTACTAGCACCAAATTCTGATCTTCTTGCAATCCATTTTCTTGTCCACACACGCTTCTTCAATCATAAGTGGTATGAGTAACTTTGTATATTTCTTGATACAACTGTTATGATTCATTTTTATTAGCAAAACTAGCCCGTTTTCCGATCGACAATGCACTGATTCAAAGAAAAGTTTCAGATGCTGGTGAACACCTTCTCGCCCGTACAACTCTCTCGGCCTAGTTATATTTTGCTGTCTCGCCACTGTACTCGTTACATGTAATCAAGGCATTAATCATTTTCAATATCGTCAAGAACCACGGCGAGAGCTTGTATATGATCAGTAACTGAACATAAGCAGATCTTTATGAAAAATGCAATTAATAGGTCGAATAAAGTTAAGTGTTTTTGATCCAGGAAGGAAATTACACGACAAAGTATAAGTGATGATTGTGGTATGAGCTTTGAAGGGAGTATTGAGGTAGTACCAGATATATAATGCCTACCTCCTCACAATAGTGCCAAATATAATTAAGAATTTGGAAAAACATGAACTTTGATTGATATATAGTTCGGAAACCATGTTGGCATTGAAGAACCAAAAATTAATTATAATATAGTTAGAAGTAACCAATCTGATTCTGTCATTGAAACCAACAACTTTTTCCGCCGCAGGTCAACCTGCTATTTCTAGTCTTCGTGACTAACCCGTAATTGTTGATGCCGCAACGTTGCTACTACGTCTGAACTATCATATTCTGTGCGTTTTGTGATATTCCGTGTGTGCTTTGTGTCATCCCTGACAGCTCATTACACTGTCAAGTCAAAAAGGTGAAGCATTGTGGTTAAACTATGACTTACTAGTCAACCCATTGGTCCCCTGGTTAAGTTAACTGCCGTTTCGCGTGTTTGAGAGTGATTAGCAGTGAAATTATAGTGAACCTGAGATTGGAAAACCGGGCGTCTTTGACGGATCTCTGGGTCACCCTTCCTATCACTGAATGCTGATCTTACAAATGAACTTTATTGAAAGCGACTCGTGTTAGAATTTAGATATACAGGGTGGCCGATATGTAACTGACTGGTTTGTGTCTTGAATATTTGTGACATGAAATAAAATATGTCCATTTTTTCATCGTAATCTTTTATTGAAAGTTAGAAATTATGTATGAAAAATAATATCGGACAAATGTCCGCTTCTAGAAGCCGCGCAAACCCGAGCCCTTTAGATTACACTTTCAAACACTTTTTGGCAGGTTTCGGGAGGAATATTTTCAATCGCTTCCGTAATATTGTTCTTCAGATGCTCTACCGTATTTGGTTTGTTGGCATAAACCCTATTTTTCAAAACTCTCCATAAAAAAGTCAGGAGCCGTTAAATCCGGTGACCGTAGTGGCCAGTTGACATCACCAAATCGAGAAATTAAACGACCCGGAAATATTGTTCGCAAAAGATTCATTGTTTCCCTAGCTATATCACAAGCTGCTCCGTCCTGCTGGAACCACGTTTTGCAAGTTAAATTGTTGGATTTGAGGACCCAGAAAGTTTTGCACCATATCACGGTGGCGCTCGTCAGTGACAGAGAGAGATAATTACCTCCAGCGTCTTCAAAGAAGTAACGTCCAATGACACCTTCACAAAAAACACCGCACCAAACTGTGACTCAACGAGGATGTAGTAATTGTTGATGGATGACACGAGGATTCTCTAATGCTCAGATACGACAATTCTGCTTATTGAAAAATCCGTTCATATCGAAGTGGGCTTCATCGCTCATTATCAGTTGTCGGCAAAAATCGTTATTTTGGGTATTAGGCTACAATATTGCATGACTGTAATTTTGACGACTGTCATGGTCACTAGGCTGTAGTTCTTGAGTTAACTGAATTTTGTATGGCCGCAAATTTCCTCACCAAATAACGAATAGTGTTGACGCTGCGCACATTATTTTGACCGAAATCTTGTTGCAACAATAATTAACTCATTATTCAGGTAAAACGTTTTAACAATACGGATGCGTTGTGGGATCGTGTAGAGCTCCATGATAAATTGGATATATGTGCTTTAAACATCTACAACGGCGCCACCTGATGGAATACGTGTATCAACAATGGCGCGCAATTAGTCAGTTATATATCAGTTAGTTATATATTGGCCACCCTGTACATGTCATATAATATCCAAAAAACAATATAGTGTATATATATATACGCCCCTTCCCACTTCAGTTGGCCCACTTCAAGATTTGTACCAAAATATGCCTTTATAAACTAATCATGACGAAACTATTTACTTCTAAAACAATTTATTTTCTCAAAAACATTTTAGATCTGGACTGCTAGAAACCCATTTCAAAAGTGGTACATTATTTTCTTCCATCCATTTTATAGTCTTTTTTGAGGTATGGTACGCTGCACCATCTTGCTGAAACACAAAATCTAGGCCGGATGTCAAACATTCTTCCATCACTGGTAAAAGCGATTCTTCTAAAATTGCCAAATATTTGTTTGTATCCACATTTCCATCAATAAAATGAAGTTTTCCTACTCATTTTGATGACATACTGCCCCAGACCATAATGGATGCTGGAAATTTCACTTTTCTCTTCAGACAGTCAACATGGAATGCTTCATTTTTTTGCGAATAACTGCGACTGTCACCAACACAAACTTCGAATCGGGCCTCATTACTCCATTGTATTGCACACCATTGTTAAGGTGTCCATTGTCTACGTTCTTTTGCCCATCTAAGCCGATTTTTCTTTTGCAGTGGAGTTAATAGTGGCTTTTCTTTGGCCTATAAATAAGTTGTGCAACTTTAGGGTTTTTACTTCACTTTTTTTATAAGAAAACTTACCTTGCGAGTGCTAAATCCCAGTTTGTGGGCCTCTCTACGAGTTGTGGACCTCGAAATTCTCCTTCCAACAGCGTCACTCCACAGAGCACTTAATTGTAAATAATTGGCACGCCCGTTTTTCACGATTATTCTTCTTAATGCTCTTCGGTCGGCATTTGTGATATTACTTTCTTTCACATATCGTGGCTTAATATTAACTGAACCAGTTACGTTATATCTTCTAACAATATTTCTCACACTGTACCGCAATAAGTCTAACAAAGTTGCAATTTCTGAGTTTGATTTCCCAGAATTAAAAAATTTAATTATCAGTAACCGAATTTTCTCACTAATAACCTTTCCTCTACCCATTTTCAAAACCTTAACTACCCAAAACTATTTTAAACGGATTCTGACAGCTGTGATTAATTAAAACAATTGTCATGGCTTTTATTTTTCACAGCCACCTATGTGTTATAGACTTATAGATTGATATGCTGTAATTGCATCGTATGTTATTTTTATGCTGCAAATTTGATTAGGGAGTGATAAAGTTGGTGTTTTCTACTATATATTATCCAAATATTCATTGTTAATATTTTAAACCTATAACACCCTGCTACATTTTTATTATTTGTGTTTGATAAGAAAAAACTAAGATTTCAATAGTTGGGCCAACTGAAGTGGGAAGGGGCTCGTATATATATATATATATATATATATATATATATAAATAAATTTTCTAAAATCGCGATTGCTATACTTCCTCGCCAGTGGCATGCAAAGTAAAGCAAACAGAACTTTCCGCTAGATCACACAATTCTCACCTAAAATATCATTAGGATCCTCTCCAAATTCGTCCCTAATAGCCTCCTTGACATCTTTCACTGTAACTTTCCTACCCTCAGCCTTCCTTAAGATAGTCCTCACCAACGACAATGCAGACTTGCCATCCTTGGCTTGAGTGGCATAGTTAAAGGCACATTGCATGGCAACGCCTGGATCGTCCAAACCACTGACAGATCGAGAGTCGGTCACGTTGAAGACGATTCCGACTCTGATTGGTGCCGAATGGATCACGAACGATTCGATCAGTTTCAGTACAGGAGCTGCCGAGGGGTCCAGAGGGTCTATCACGAGTACCTAGAGACATAATCAGAGGATTTAAATAAGTTCTATTTTCATTCACAAAATTCAAATAAAAAACAAGAATAAGCCGCATCTTTCTCGCAAAATTACATGTAACAATCCATTTAAGCTATTAGAACTGCTATCTTTTCTAGGTTGAAAATACTCCATTTAGGTAAACACCGGTGATATTGCCAGATACTATGCGGAATATAATTTACACGATTTATTGAAAAAAAATTCAGTTGTCATTTTTTGTAATGTTCCCAAAGTTTTAGCTATGTGAATAACGACATATTATTAAAAAAATAAACTCGTATGGATGTAATGGAACTTGGTCTGAAACATATTTAAATAATTGATCCCAAATTGAAAAAGTATTAAGACATCATATTTCAAACAAAACGTAAACGCAGGTGTACTTCAAGGATAGTACTGGGTCCGATTCTATTCTTTTTTTTTATACTCCAACTACCACGAAGGCCTAAGGCCTAAGCACCCATTGGGTACCGTGGGGCTATAGGGGGATACATAGTATATATAAACGACTCAACAAATTTAAACATAAATGGCAAAATCATGGTTTATGATATCGATACCACAATACTTTACTGGCAAGAAACGGATAAAAATGAAATTAAAATAAAAATTGCAGTGATTGGAAAAAAATATATTACATATGTAATGTAATTTTATTTAGTTCTCAATTTTATATTCAAATTAAACAATCATTTATTACCACCACATATAGAAAACTTATAAAAATTAAATAGTCATTATCATAACTAAGAAACTAGAGGCAATATAGATTTCAATCTGCAGAACTGTATTAGTAGCATAACTAGCAAATCTGCATTTCAAAAGGGAGTATAATTTAATAAATTGAATAATGATATTAAACAGTCTTGGAATTTAGACATGTTTAAGGTAAAATTAAAAAAACGCTTTATGAATACACAAAATGCATAGCCATGTAATTAATAGACAAGAATTACAGAAAAATGTGTAAAATAATTATGCAAAATTGACATTGTAGCATTAATGTTAAATAAATCTTCAACAACAACAAATTCAAGCAATCAAAAAATTGTGTGATAACAATTAGTTTTTTTATATACCGAATCAACCGCGCAGGCAGCAGCCTTAATGCCAGGACATCACGGCTGCTATGCGGATCTCAAAGAAATTTTGTTAATCCTATTTTTGAACTGCCTAAGGTTAGTAGAACAGGGAAAAGCCTCCTCTAGTAGATTGTTCCAAAATCTCGACACCCTCGGGACAAAGGAGCGGTCGTATCGGCCAGTTCTAGATGTACGAAATTCGACACGGTTAGGATGGCAGGAAGAAGTCAGGTGGGTCTGTCTGGCATTCACATCGCGCGGCGGCATCATGGAGGAGAGCTCTGACGAGCAGAACGCGCTGGTGTAGCAGCAGAAGAGAGCTAGAACATAGCCGGCCCGCGAGACTGTCTGTTAGAGAAGAGTCATCGATCGGTCGGACAGCCCTCCTCTGGACAGTATCGAGCATAAACAATGTAGTCGGGGCGGCAGCACCCCTAACGTGTGAGCTATACTCGAGGCTAGGTCTTATCTGGGCGTTGTATAGAATACGGAGAAAAGTACGTATTACCCCTAAACAAATAGCCTAGCTTTTTCCCAGCAGCTGCTGCTATTAACGAGGTGTGTTCGTACCAGGTCAAGTCCTCGGTGATCTGGACTCCGACCAGCCGAAATGAACGGCTTTTTGGCAGAACTCGGCAATCCATCGAAACTGGATGATCGCTAGGACGCGTGTTCGTCAAGGTACAGCAGTGATAACCTCCTGCAAGGAAGCCGCCGCTAGTCTTCTTTTTTCCATATCACCGGCAGAGATCGGCTTGTTGCTCTGAATTTCTGCATGTAGAGTGCTGTCATCAGCAAAGCTGTGGATTTGGTTGATTGTACAGGGAAGGAGGTCGTTGATATGTAAGAGGTACGGTATCGGAGTCCTAGGAACACCCGCGTTGACGTTGTGGGATGAAGAGGAGAATCCGTCAATTACGACGGATGTCTTGCGGCCATAGAGAAAGTGGAGCTTGCAGCAAAGATCTTGGTTAGCACTTCCGCCTTAGCCTGTGAGTCGGTTAAAGTCGTTCCATCTTGACTCGTAAGTAGTGAAAGGCTACTGTGAGAGGTTCCTTACCATTTTGGCCAGTGATCAGCCAGACTGACTGCCATTGCGCTGCGACATTACCCTGTGCCTAACTTTTATATCGACCTTGTCTTTGGCATTGCGAACCGCTTCGTTATATTTGTTTCTGGACTTGAAGTCGGCTTGTCTGTTCTCTCTAGTGAGGTTTCGTAAGGAGGTTCTGTGTGTACTCATCTGCTGGCCATCAGTGTCGCACGATTTGTTGAACCAGCCATTGGACACTTTCACTGTATGAAGGATGTATTCCTCCATCTTAACGTGGATAATTTCACTTATCGATGAACAGCGATCCGACACATTCGCGTCAGCGAAAGAAACATCTCTTCAAGGAAAGGTGAAGAAGAAGTCTCTAAGCCCCTCCCTGTCGACATGTATGTAATGTCAAGTTTTGCGGCCTGAGCGAGTGTTTACTGTCACAGCAGGATCTGACTTAAACCTAACCTCCACAATACCATGATCTGAGTTACCCAGGGAAGACAGGACAACAATGTTGTAAGGGACAGGATGCGTGGTCAGGAAGAAATACAGCTATTGGCATGTGACGAATCGCGGGAGAAAAACTAGGGCTCTTCATTAAACCCTATTTCACGAGTATCCATCACGGTAGAATGACAGCTGGTTATCTAGTAATATTTCAAAATTCCCCATATCGACAAAGGACACATAATTCTGATGGATCCGTCAATCCCAGGTAGACAGAGCCATATTTTGTTTTGGTTTTTTTGTACTCTACAGTTTCCTTTTGTACTTGCTAAAAGCTCTTTTATTTAAAAAGTTCATTTGCTTACCAAAAAAAAACGCTACAAACAGTTTTGTTGCTAGATTTATTATAGCCAACGTTGTAGACTAACACAAAAATGTCACTAGCTAATCAGCTGTTCACGTCAGTAGACGTCAAAGCGTGATGGATACTCGTGAAATAGGGTGTAGCTGGGTTAGCCCTTGGGTAATAGCGAACGATTCAACTGCACGACCTGGTGCATCGGTCTTGTTTGAGCCCAACCAAAGTTCATTATGGGCATTGAAATCACCGAGAAGAACTTCCTCTGAAGCGGGGTGATTGATTTTCATGAAGTTGATTTTGACAGCGAGGTGTTCAAGGCAGAACATAAATTTGGGGGATGTTTTGGAGTTGACGCGAAGCCACTGAATGTCCTTCCGATCTGATTCCAAAGAAACGTATCTGGAGCAAGAGAGATTGCTGCGGACAAAAGCCACAACTCCCCCGTTCTTTCTCAGATTGGAGTGAACCTCTAAATTTGGGAAGCTAAGATGGTTAATCGGTGCAGACTCTGAGATTTTTGTCTCCGTTAACAAAAGCATGGCGGGACGATTCGATTGCAGGTAGTGATGAACAGCAATAATAACGGGTGTTTTTTTCGAGGTATAGAACTTTAAGTTGGCATTACTTTTGAAGATGCGACCGATTTGACAGCTGTCAAGTAATTTATTCTGTTTGGTTTGGCAATTCATCATGAATAGACTCACGCCTGAACCACGCTTGCAAATTGTGCAGTTTTATTTCGAAAATAATGGTTCTGTGCGGAATACGTATCGCGCTCTATGTCCATTTTATCGTCGACAAAATCGTCCATCAGAGCAGTTAATTCGATTAACCATGGAACGTTTCCGCACCACGTTTACTCTACTTGATAACTCGCATCCCCAGAGACGCCGTACGGTGCGTTCAGAAGAAGCTATTGCTACTGTAGAGCGTAGCATTGAGGAAGACCCGAATGAGTCCATCCGCCATCGAGCACAGGAATTGGATCTGTGTCCATCCACTTTATGGACGATTTTGCGGAAGGATCTTGGTGTGCGTGCTTACAAAATCCAACTCGTGCAAGAATTGAAGCCAAACGATCATTAAGCAAGGCGTAGATTCGTTGAATGGGCCCAAAACTAGATTGCCGTTGTTCCCGATTTTCATAAGCGAATTTTGTTTAGCGATGAAGCGCACTTCTGGTTGAATGGGTACGTCAACAAACAAAACTGCCGCATTTGGAGTGAAGCTAATCCTCAAGTCTATGTCGAAACACCGTTACATCCAGAAAAACTGACTGTTTGGTGCGATTTATGGGATGGTGGAATCATTGGTCCGTACTTCTTCAAAAACGATAATGGCCAGAACGTTGCAGTCAATGGTGATCGGTATAGAGCCATGATTACTAATTTTTTCATTGCTGAATTGAACAATCATGATGTCCAGGAGCTGTGGTTCCAACAAGACGGCGCAACATGTCACACAGCTTGTGCTACAATCGATTTATTGAAAGACACGTTTGGTGACCGCCTAATTTCACGTTTTGGACCTGTGAATTGGCCTCCAAGATCTTGTGATTTAACACCGCTAGACTATTTTCTGTGGGGCTATGTAAAGTCATTTTTCTATGCGGATAAGCCACAAACGCTTGACCATTTGGGAGTCAACATTCGCCATGTTATTGCCGATATACGGCCAAAAATGTTGGAAAAAGTCATCGATAATTTGACGTCCAGATTGAACTACATCCGAGCCAGCCGTGGCAGTCATATGCCAGAAATCATATTTATAATGTAAGATTATCTTTCGAATAAAAAAAATGCATGTCAATTGAATAATCCATCGTTGTTTTATTGCAATTTAAAGTTCTATACCTCTAAAAAACACCCTTTATAACTGTTAATCCCGCAGATGTTCGTAAAACAAATTGTATCATGGAAGTTGTTCCCTCGAGTCCACCCTTTACCCGAACATTCCAAGAATGAAGTGAGTTTACGTCCGGATTTCTTAGTACTCGAGGGATCCATCATCATTAATTTCTTTGTTGGGGAGATCACCGACTGCGTAGCTTAGGTGTGGAAACATGCGGTCTTTCATAAGACACACTGGAAAAAGGTAGCGGGTGGTACCGCCTCGGTCGACTGGTCCTTGTCTACCACCTTCTTTTTGCGTGTTAATGATGTTAAATAGACCTAATGTGGCCCGTTGGCGGACTTGTACCGTCACCCGGCAAACAAGCATTTGCCACGGCCCCGCACAGTTGATTATCACTTTTAATGTAAATAAGACAAAATTTCTGTGTATTTTAAATGCTCCTTGATTCAGTAAATTTAAATAGTAAAATATTACAGGCAGCATTTAATTTTTGGGACTCATCCTTGACCACAAATTAGATTTTACCAATCATATTGTAAGCAACGAGAATTTTCGGGAGCCGCTGCCGGTCACGGGGAGTACTGCTGCGTTATCTGCTGTTATCACTTCGACCAGCCGTCGACAGTCAGTCTGAGCAGAAACGTTGGGCGGTGCGCGTCGTGCCCGGATTCCCTGCCGCTCAGTTATATCGATAAACAATATTTGTTCGTAATAAAGGTGTATTTAACCAAAACTAGTGTTTTTCCGCATTGTTTCTAACAATATAGAGCAACTGATTACTTAATTTATAAGAAGAATTAGTTAGAATGCAGGGAAAATCACAGTCTTAAGCACATACTTTCCATTTACTTGAAAAAAGTGTTTATGTTTCAAAAATGATCTACTAGATGTATAACTAAAAACAATTCTAGAGCTACATGCAGGCTTTTGTTTCTAAATCATAAAGTGATGACTGTTGTTGTTTAGCATAGAAACAGCAAGTCTTATTTTTTTTAAATAAATGAAACATTAAATATAGGTTAAGATATGAGGCGAAAACAAGATCTTAAATGTATAGTACTTAAATCAGTACTTGTTGAAAGATTCTATAATTCACAATGGTCTGAATATTTACATTTACATGTCTCTCTGTAACACTATCAAAAGAAACAACAATTTAAAGATATTACGCCGTGAACTCAAAAACATTCTAATAAACCAGATTATACCTTGTATAAATTCTACAATACATTAACTTGAGATCCACATAGTTTAATTTGTTATATTTTAGTTTTAAATTAGCTTTGTCATTGAGAATGACAATGAATGTTCAGACAATAAAGCATATATATCTGTCATTTGATTTAAATCAATAATATTAGTAAATTTTCGCTCACCAAATTGTACAAGTTTCTCCTAATTTGCCTAATCATCCCAGGAAAAGTTGGTCGAAGCAATTCCATCAAACTGCTGGACCATCTGCTGTATTTAGATTCGTGTTCAATATCGTTTATCCAGCTTATAGCTGAATCTCGAATGTCAATAGCGAATTCTTGCGTTCTGTCGTCGGAAAAATCTAGCGCGAGTAACTTTGACATTCTTTTGCTGCCAATACCTATCAAAATAAAAAAGTAACTGATAGCAGCTTTACTTTGAAATTTACCTATTCCAGGATATGCAATAATTGAAAAAGAAAAAAATGGGTTTTAGGAGTTACCTATCTTATGCAATCCTTCCATAATTCTCAATTCTTGCCTGAGTACATCCAAAATGCCATATATATCAATCATGTCAATCTCATAGAACATGCCATTAATAAAGAGAGCAGTATCAGAAGGTTGTACGTTCAGGTTACTGGCGAATATTTCTGAGTTAAATTTCATTTCATTCTTCAATTCTGATTTCACCACAGTCTTCACCAATCCCTTTGCCTGGAGGCATATAAAAAATTTCATACACAATCTTAAAACAAAAATGTATCGATATTTGGTAAAAATGATAACAAAATAATGATACCAATATAACAAGCATCTTTCACTTGGGTGTAAACCAATACTTGAACATTCTTGATATAACTACTTCACAAGCACCAACTTCCACAGTTACCAGACTAGATCATCTGATGACCTGAGGGTACCCAAATTCTCACTATTGACAGAATTTCCCTCATTTAGATCTGTACAATCATCTTCCAACAAGTATTTGTCAACTTAGCACAGTTCATACTGAACATTGTTTTTATCCCATAAGTGACTATTTTGGTTCAAAAGTTTGTTGAATTTTTATATCTAATGTATTTCTGTATCTTTTTTATATAAATGCCACCTTTGTTAAATTTTCAGTCTTCCATGATGATGTACTTTGTACATGAACAAATGAAACAGTTTATGTATCTATCCATCTATGAATTTTCATAAAACTTCACATGGTTATCTATCTTCCTATCAATTTTCTTAAAAATTTACTTGGTAAATTGGCAAAACATATGTAAATTTGATATTACCTGAATAGGGAAATTTTGTGCAATGTTAGTCATAATTTTCAGGGTTTCTTCTTTAGGAGCTGTCATGATTCTTTCAGCTGCTTGCAAACTAAGTTCTTGAAACTGCCAAACTTTCAGAGGTGCCAATTCATTTGAACTTTCTTCCAAAAACTGTCTGAATCTGTCTAGGTTTTTCTTCTGATCAGGAAATATTTTCCTAAGAAAAAATGCATTAGATTCTACACAACTTATTACTACAAAGCTTACTTCAGTTTTGCAAAATCAAATCCTTCCAGCTCCATCTCTTCTTCTTCTTGTGAGCTTTCATCAGAGTTCTGTTCTTGGTGCACTTCAGTATCATCTTGGGATTTGTATTCAGTTGACTTCATCTGAAGTTCTACTCCATACCCAGAAAGTCTCAATTTCTTTTTACTTTCATCCTAAAAAAAATGTCATTGTTGGCACTGAGAAAAAAGTTGAATTCAAAGATAATTGTTATTTTTATGCGAAAAACGAAGGGTTAGGTTTTTTCTTCTAAACAAAATCAAACATTTTGTATATGTGAGTGACTGAACAGATTCACTATGATATTCTAAAAACATACGCTATTATGCACATTTTAAAATAAAGTGGTTGTGTCTACCACCTTTTGTTATGAAGAAAACAGTTTTTTTTCAAGATTTCTTCATACTCTTGTGTATACATATTTAGAGCTGAAATTTTTAATGATCACAGATGAGCCCTACAGTTTATAAAAAAAACTATTCCATACTGGAATGTGCTGAACTGTTTATAAAGTTAGCACACAAACTGAAGACACAATTATGTTTCAAACTGTCTTAGACTAGTTAGTATGTAGCATGTGCTAAATGGCTGCATTATTGATGACTGCATGAGTTTATCAAATAAGGAGGTCACATAATCCAGTTTCTTTTCGAAGAAATATAATTCCGTAGACTCTTTTTCTAAAAGTATTAATATAGTATATGTAGGAAAATAAACTCAAAAAAACAAAAAAAATAGTAGAGAAATATCAATAAATTGTAACGAGCTGAACTTAAAAATTAGGCAAAATGCTTGTTATTAGTCTCTAATACATTATTTATAGATTCAGCATTGTATCTTGTATAGTATTGTAACATATGTTTTTCGAATATCGTAGAAAATCTGTTCAGTTACTCGCATATACAAAATGTTTGAATTTGTTTAGAAGAGAAAAACGTAACCCTTCGTTTTTCACATAAACGTGTATTTTGCTATAAAATGTCCTTTTAATGAACCCTGTATATTGCTCAGTAAACTAGTAGTGATGGCCAGAAGATAGGTGTTTTGGGATAAACAATTGGAAATTCTCAGAAACTACTTGACCAATCGACTCCAATTTTGTTGTGGTTATTTAGAAATATGAATCCCACAGATTAGAAGAATTTCAAGCAGCTGCGTAAAATGATCGTCGCAATAGCAACAAGTGCCAAAACCTGCATTTTGCCTCACTTTTCAGCCATAACTTTTTTACTATTAGTGGTATGTTTTTACGTGTGGTCTCATTCAAAAATCTTATTTGAAGTTTTTTCCTTCCTGCCAACACTTTTGATTGAACCCCAAAAAACAGGTTTTCTCATTCCTTGTTGTCAAATGAAAAGTTTTCCCACAAAAATTGGTGTCTATGTATTAAATACCCTCTTGATCAATTTGCATCATTAAAACCAGACTTTACAATGATTTTCCAAACCAGGGGTATTATCATCTAATATGGTTAGACTATAAGATAACAAATTGTTGGCAGTCTGTATTAAACCATGTATTTAAAAAGAACTTGTTATAATCTTATTTGAGCAAAGATTTATATGTGTGACCATTAAAAATGTGCTTTGTGTTGTGTTACTATATACAGTAAGGACTTGCTACATAAGAAGCCAAGTTTGATAAATATATTTATTTTATGAAAACATACCTGAACATAATGTCGAATAACATAATCAATTTTTCCCTCAATAGCTTTAGTTCTTAGTAGAATATGGAATTTTGCAAATTCATCTGTGCCAAGTTCTCCATATAATACTACAGCTAAAGATCTATTTGCTGAACCTGGGTAGTGATTGTCAACTTGATACAGATCCATCTGTTTTTTATCTTCTTGAGGCTGCAGAAATAATAGTTTTATATAATATAGAGAACTAAAAACACTCTTAACATTTAAGATTGATTTTATCACAATGATTTACAAGCTAAAGTTTTCAGAATAGCTTATGCTATAAGAAAGACCGTAAAATAAATATTCATTTTGTAATGAACAAACATGTTTTTCTTGCTTTAAAGAACAAATACCTGATGAAGAAAGAAAGCTGGCATGCAAAAATAAAAAAAATGGTCTAGAATAGTGTACTTAGTAAAGGTTTCAAAATTTGCAATTATTATGCAATTTTAATAATTTGCTTACCTTTTCAATCAACCTATCCAACTCTTCTAAATCACATGTTAACTTTCCAGAAACGTCAGCTGCACAAGAGCATTGTGGTAAGTTTCTTTCTTCTGCAATTTGCTTGAACATTTGAACCTTAGGTGAATATATGTGTAGGGAAAGCCCCAGCTTTAACACAGATAGCTGCAGAGGTGTGAGCAGTCTTGAGGCATGGCTTAGGATTGTTTCATATTGGCTTTTATCATTATCTATAATATGAAATAAAAAAGATAGATACATATAAAAATTGAGTATTCTGAATCCTATGATAGTAGCTTACCTATCGTTTTTAGAGGCGGATTCAAGGAACTGATGGAACTAACAAAATCCCAGAAAAAATTCGGATTCTCATCAGCTAGATATTCGGCAGTTTCTAACACTAAAGGGGTGGCGCCCCATTTTGCTTCTAAGAGTGTGGTGACGGATTTTGTTTTCTTTTTCTTGGCATCTACATTGCACATCGTTTTTAACAAAAACAGTGCTATTAAAATACTCCCTAGCAGTTTCATCCTGTAAGGCATAACCTCAAATTAACCGGGATTGATTTTAATGACCAAAGTTACATCAAATTTACCTAATAATATTCACTGGGTAATTTATTTAACATTTACAAACACAGGCCGTCTATAATACTCTATTTTAAGGCAGAAAATTCAATTAATTCACCCCAGGCCCCGATACATCATTACCAAAACAAAACCCTTCAAGTTTGACAAGCAACGTCGGAAAATGTACAATTGGCCAATCAGAAGCGGCCAACGCAAAATGAAAATGCGCATTTGGCGAATCCACAACAAAAACACGCCCACATTTTTTGTGATAAGCACTATCAAGCTTTTGAACACACTTTCGAACTTGTACGAGTGTTTGTGGTTATGGCACATCCAGTGAATCTTGTTTTGTTCTTGATATAGAGGAAAAAAGGAAGGAACTAAAGCAGAATAGGGAATTTTTAGTTATCTCATTTTGCTGCTTCGTTGTGATCCATGATCTTTCTCATTTCGATCTTGCGCAATAGCACGACAATCGTCAGCTATCAAAATAAGAATATAAAGCTCCGTTAGTTACTTCGTAACTTCGGTTATATTTTTCTTATCGAGCACTGTTGCCGGAGTCTGGAAAGCTGGATGAGCTTAATTAAGAAAATTCAAGCTATAAAAACATATTGGTTAATATAGGTATAATAGAAAATTGAGTTTTAGGTTGTGGGTAAAAATAAATGTAAGAAATAGTAAGTGTTCCAAATGAGTTTGGTTGTCCTCACTTTTATTATATGTATTCGCATTGTGGCAAGTTGACAATTTATTGTACGTCTGCTAGTTTTGCAGTCATTTTTCTTTCTATGGCTCTACAATTCGATTACCATTCATTTCTTGTCCTGTTTGGAAACTTATCTATGAGAAAATATAACATGAAACTTTGGGATTAGTTTCACGTCAAAATCGAAAAAAAGGAACCCATCATGACTGTTAGTAGTCAGTATTGTCAAATTACCACGGTTCACGTTAGTGGTCTTAAAAACTTTTTTCGTCCATATTAGTTGTTTGCTGTCGCTGTCGAAAACAATAATTCCTTATTCTTTAGCACTAAAAACTTTCTAATATGAAAGCAATTTTACTCTAAAATAATAGAGTTTGTGCACACGTAAAAATTCCACTTCATTCATGAGTGGGCTGTGCCATTTTATAATTCATTCAGATTATATTATGTTTCTTCCGTTTCTTTCGATTGTACTGAAAAATCGAATTTAAAGTTTTTGTTGCACTCGTCTTTCAAAAGTTATCGAAAATCAGGTCAAGCTATATTAAAGCTTAATAGATCAAAACAACCATCTCAACACGTTAATCAATATATTAACGGATTTCTGATTTTGATCGGTTTCACCGAATGATCCGATTCTCCACTGGATTAACACTGATTGATTGATAACTATAATCAAATTCAAGCGAATAACCAAATGAAAATGGTATTTACCATTTTGGATTGGTATTTGTCGATCCGTTCAAGCGAGTGTGGTTATCAGGTTGGTTATAAGATTCGTGACGTCATGAATCAGCTGTTATATGTCATAAATCAAATTCAAGCGATTAACCAAAATTTCTGTGTTATGTACCGCGGTTTTAATATGGTTTAAGATGACAGACGGGTTGATGACGTCAGTTACTCGAATCGTGTAATCGCATTGATTTGAACCGCTGCAAGTTGTTTATTTTAGAAAAGCGCGTATATAATTTCTGATTATTTTTATTATCTCTTAATACTCGGTGCTTTTTCGTCTACAACATTTTAGGGAAAGTTTAAAAAAGAAACCTTTCATAATATTAATGTGAGAAATGTTTTGTTTTTCAGAAAATAATTTTTAATGATGGAACCATGGCTTTGTAGCTATGATAACTTTCAAGTCTCTAAACTTTTCCGTTCAAAGAGAACATTTATTGATTCAGCAGAAATGATAAGTGGACATTATCCAGTGAGTTTATAAGGCAATATTTTAATATTCTTGTGGTATATGGCTACACAGGGTACTTTGTTAAGCATAGGAACTAGATTTAAAGTGTCCCCAATAACAGTAATGAGTAAACCTAATAATGTGCTCTACTTTATGCTACAACTGAAGTCAGCCTATATCAAGTTTCCCAAAAATGAAGGTGAAGTACAAAAAAATATACAATACCCGGCAAAATTCTAACTTGTCACATTTCAAATAATAACCAGAAATATAAAACTACTCCTGAGTTGGGTAAATACCACAATTTTGCAGTGATAACTATGACATATAACCGCTGATTCATGACGTCACGGATCTTATAACCAAACTGATAACCACACTCGCTTGAACAGATTGGTAAATACCATTTTCATTTGGTTATTCGCTTGAATTTGATTATAGTTATCACAGCAAAATTGTAGTATTTTCCCAACTCAGGAGTAGTTTTATATTTATGGTTATTATTTGAAATGTGACAAGTTAGGATTTTGCCGGGTATTGGATATTTTTATTGTACTTCAGCTTCATTTTTGGGAAACTTGCAGGCTGACTTCAGTTTTAGCATAAATTAGAGCACCTTATTAGTTATAATCATGTCTGTTGTTAGAGACACTTTAAATCTAGTTCATATGCTTAATGAAGTATCCTGTGTGTAGCCATATACCTCAAGAATATTAAAATATGGCCATATACACTCACTGGATGATGTCCACCTGTATGCGGCTTTGTTAATATCTTTTTTCATCATTTCTGTTTTCCTTGACATGCGGAAAAGTTCAGAGAATTGAAAGTTATTATAGCTACAAAGCCATGGTTCCATCATTAAAAAAAAATTATAAAAAAAACATTTCTCCCATTAATATTATGAAAGGTTTCTTTTTTAAGCCTTAAGTGATAATAAAAATAATCAAAAATTATATATGCGCTTTCCTAAAATAAACACCTTGCAACAAAACCGCGGTTAAAACCAACGCGTTCAAGCGACCCATGTGTCATCTTGAACCATATTATAACCATGGTACATAACATGCAATTTTTTGTTATTCACTTGAATTTGATTTATATTTGTCCCATCCTTACAATTTACATTGCCATTTGACTTTTGCCATTCCAAAACTAACCTATAAATAGCTAGAGGACTTGTGAAATGAAAAACATCAAACTTTTGTGACAAATTTTAAGATGTAATTTATTTATTCTAGGATAATATTTATAAACAGAAAATATGGATGAAGCTGACAGTGCTGCTGAAAAGGTTGATTTTAATTTTATATTGTTTTTTTTTGTTTGAGATTTTGACCCATTTCCTTTGTTACAGAGCTTGTTTATTTTTGGCAGGGACATTTCCAAAATTCCATGCTTCCGAAACAGCCTGCTATATGGCATTGGAGGAGGAATAGCATTTGGACTAGCTCGGTTCATGATAACAAGTCAGCCTTTGAGGTCTACTAACTTTGCTGTATATTCTTTTTCTCTAGTTACAATTGCTTACTGGATACAGTGCAGATACACCTATTCCAAAAAGAGGTTTGAAATGTTAAAGATGCAAGAATTGATGAAAGCAAATTCTTTGCTAGAAGGAACAGAAGCTGATAGTATACATATTGGTGCTATAGATACTAAACCTGTAGAAGTGTAAATATGTAGTTTTTTTAGCTGTCTTAAATAAACCATTTTATGGTAGCATGGAAGGTTTTTTACTCGTACATATGCATTAGCAAAAGTTAGAAAATTTAGTCCAAATTCTTGAGTATACATATCATTATAGAAAATGTAGAAGCTCTACAAATAAATGAGAATGGTACTTGATAACATGTTGAAACTACTCTACCAAATACGTAGTCGTGCCATAAGTTCTGTCCCATGATAATCTCATGATAAAAATGAAACAAGATAAGATATATTTATATGAAAGATATTATTTATTCGACAACATTTTTAGAATTCATAATCAAACAGTTTTATTCAAAATGTCCCCCCTTGGCCTTCACACACTGCTTCAATCTCGCGGGCCACTCATCTATCACTGCACGCACAGCTTCCAAAGGAATAGCTGCAGCTGATCGGATCAAATCCGCTTTCAGGGACTCGATATTACGGTGGGCTTTGGAGCAGGCCAACTGCTCTAGCAGGTCCCACAACTTGTAGTCTAAAGGATTGAGGTCCGGACTCCCTGAGGGCCAATCTTCCGCAGCAATGAACTCTGGCACATTGCTTTCCAGCCAGCGCTGCGTACTCTTAGCCTTGTGAGCGGGGGCGGAATCCTGCTGGTAGACCCAGTGTTGGTTGGCAAACAATGTACCACTTAAAGGCTTGACGATAGGATCCAGTATGTCGCTCTGATAGTTTGCCGCTTTTGTTTTCACGCCCTGTTTACAGAAATGGAGCTGAGTGACCCCTTCGTAGGACACCCCCCACCAAACCATGACTGACGCAGGGTGGTGGCCTCTCTCAACTCTCGGAATGATCTCCGAAGCTTCCTGTGAACTCCTTGCATACACTTTGTCGGTTGAATTTTTCTTCTATGGTGAAGATTTTCTCATCCGTGAACAAAATCTTTCGGAATCCCCCAGCTGCGTACCTCTCCAAGAGCTTCTTGGATCTTGTCGCCCTGATGTGTCGCAAGGTGGCCGTAAGTCGCTGGCCCGTACGTCTCCGGTAAGCCCCTAGCCCTAGGTCTTGTTTAATGATGCGCGACATCGTCCGGACAGGAATCTTCATTTCCCTGGATAGGATCTTCTGCTTCCGGAGTGGATTCCTTTGAATCCTGGCTTTTACGGCTTTGATGGCTGCTGGAGTCCTTACTTGACGAGGTCTTCTGCTTCTTGGCCTGTCATCAACAGAGGACGTCTCATTGTACCGCTGAATGGTCCTAGACACAAATTTACGCGATATTTGAAGGCCGCGTAAGAGTTCAAAAATCTGACTAGCACTGTGATTACACTTATGTAAAGCTATCACTGCAATACGGTTCTCTGCCTTGCCCCACTCCATCGTTATGCTTCGAGAGATCAATACAAACTGAGGTATATGTAATTACCCGAAAAGCGCTTAATCAACTGACACCACAATGTAAACAACCGGACAAGTATTAACAGGTCTACACTTGTTTGAAAACGAGGGACAGAACTTATGGCATGACTACGTACATAAGCAGTAAAACCGCTCCCCCACGATGTGGCGAATGCCTTACAACGTTGGAGACATGGCCATTCGCCACATCGTGTGGGAGAGCGCTGACGGATTGCATGTGTCCAGCGTTCGCCACATGGCCCGTTCGGGCTCTTATCGGTAAATTTGAACCCCGTCAAAGGATTTTACAACGCTGGAAGTATGGTTCGTTACGCTCCCACACGAAATGTGATGTTTTTGATGGTTTTAGGTTAGAACCAGTAGCGACGACAAACATTATTGTTTTGTTTGTTCTGATTGTGGTGAGGTAGTGGTATGTGGGAAGTATTTTGATTTGAATACCTATTAATAATAATGTATGTTTCGTAACCTACTTTTGAGAAGAATGGATTAAATTAGTATACATACAAGGCATAGGCTGCCATAACAAAACTTTTTTCATATTGCTAATATTTAGTACGTTTCGCAGGTGAGTTATGGCTGGCCTAAGGAAATGTATTTTAGTAAAATATAAATTATCAAGTGCTTACAGTTGTTTCATTATAATGTCCTGTTGCAATGCAACACTAGTTGAGAAATATATTGACTTCCATTTCATAACAGTTTTTGAAAATCGGTACAGTGGCGGTGGACCTATCGTCGAAAAATAAACAAAATCGGTCAAACTTCGTTTTTCGACATTTTAGAGGCTTGTGACAGACTTAAGTTTTGGTCGCTGAGGTCAGACCTGAAATTATTTTCATTAAATTGTTTCCTCGTTTATTTTGTATAATTTTTCCTTCAGTTGTAAAGGTTCAAGCGCGACACTGACACCGATAATAGACGTTGGCACCACCATGCGTCGAACGTCCGAGACTAAAAAGTTCATCCCATCGTGTGGAGACACACTTGCCAATTGTGGGGTGTCGAACGTTGTAAACATCAATGGAAGCATCGTGTGGGACCCGCATTAAGGGCAATGGCGAACAAGAATCAGCACTCCTTATTTGTATATATTTGGATCTAGTTCACATTAAACTGTTCTCCAACTTGTTGATCTGTGTCAAAAGTGTTCAACCTAACCCAACTTTTTCTGTTGCAGCGCACCAAAACAACTGGTTCCACAATTTTAAACTTTCGTGATTAAAATCAGATAATGGCCCAGAGATATCCAACCAACTGGGATATAGAAAAATATATAGATGACACAGAGCCTGAACACCATTGGGAGTTGAGGAAGGCTTTTATGAATGCCCATAAAGGAAAGTTTCAAGAAGACTATCTTGTAGCCCTTGCTAAAACATTCACAAATATAGAATTTCTGGGGTGTATGTAAGTATTTTTTTTTATCTAATTTTGTAATAACAGGCATTTAATAAATTATAATCAGTTATGCTTACATCATTTCTGTATCTTATTTATGTGTTGTGTTTAACTGTGCCGTCTCTGTGCTACAAATGGAAATAAACAATCAAAATTGTAACTTTGTGTTCTTTGACCCCCTGAAGACATAGCCTGGGTTAATAGACCAGTCTAATATTCAGCACATGATTGGTTTTCGAGTATCTACCACTCTAATCTATGCACTATTTTTCAGTTATCCAGAGGGTTTGATGGTAAGAATTGCTGAACTTTCTAAGGATGTGGCTAAAGAATATAGAGAAATTAAAAAGACAAAGTTACAGAGGACTTTTGTATCTGGATCGAATGCTGCTGAAAACAAAATAAGTAAGACATATATTCCTGAATATTCAACAAATCTTAATAAAAAACCAATATACCAGCTTAAAAGATACTTTGGAGAGAGGGGTTCTTATTAAAGGAGATTTTATCTGTTTGTCATAATATAAAGCAACTATTTCTTAACTGGATAAACTAAGGCATATAATTTAAATACATTTTTAAAATAAAGATTGATTCACTTTTAAATTTTTATTTAAATTTGAAACTTGAAGAGCAATTAATGTCGCACAGTCCAAACTGTCAAATTTGTAAGAACTACACTTTATTTTTGAGAAGAGAGGGCATATGCTAAAATAAATGTCAAATCAGTGTTATATTTTACATCAAACTGTTGACATCTTTTAGAGCCATTCACACCTACTAAGTGATGATAAGATAGATATATGGAAATTGCATTTTTTCACTCAAAATTCACATGATTTTCTAACTTTTTAGAGAGGAGGAGAACAGATCCAGGAGTTGTCCAACACATTAAATAGCTTGTAGAGCGATTTATAAAATCAATAGTATAATGATTTATATAACATTTTTTATCTTCTATAAGCTATAATTAAAATTGATAATAAATTCGTATAAAATAAATACAAAACAATGAAAAAAGTACTTTTTATAACAGCATAATGTTTAATGTTAGTCTACCATCCTATTAATAAAGATTTTTTATAGTAATTATTTGTTCAAATTATTATTACTGGTGTTATGCAGGGCTTCAATTGAAGCACTGAGCTGTTCCAGTCTTTGAATCAGTTGGCTCATTGTGTTTTGGGACCGCTGGATATTCTCGTCACTTAAGCCAGGAACTGTAGCAGAACCAAGGTCAAAGTGCAGCTTGGCCAATTTCTCTTGTTGTTCCCTGAAAATCATTCAACATGCCTGTAAAATGAAGAACAGTGAAGGCTACAATTCGTTCTTCCATCATCTTGGTAGACTCTATGTTTTAAAATTGATAGATTGGTATAAACTCAAAGGCAAATAAAGCAGATTAAAGTGATGAACTTCAGTTTTTCCTTAATTATTCTATCATGCACCCTTTTTACTCAGAACAAGAATCTGAGAACAGGTCACACAACTTTTTTGTGGTTCAACATCAACGATTAAAATGTGATTCAAATATAAGTAAATTCATAACTGTATTATTAAAAACATAGAGTCAGTTCGCATCATCATATGATAGCTATTAGAAGTTACAAACTGTGGTGCTTGAAATAAAAAAGTTAAAATCAAACATGCTTGGGTATGATTGGTAGATCTCTTAAAATTGCTTATAATCTCTTATAGAAAATACATCAGGCAAAAAAAGGAAATTCATGAATCTCAAATTTTCTCTACCCTGAAGCACTTGAGAATGAGTGCACAGTAAACCTCAACACATAGCACTATGATGAGCAAATTTCGATTTTTATTTGGCATTGTTCAAGGGAATGGAGCTTTGTACAAAGGTAATTTGGGGCGTAGAATTCGTATATGCTCGTTACAAAATCATCAATATGCATGGGTTTTTTAGAATTCACTCGTCAGAAACTGAAAAGCACTATCAAACTTAGTACTACACTTCTATAATATTTTGAGTTGTCCTATAAGAAATTTTCCCAATGAGCATGTCCTATTGTATATTTTATTAAATCTTGAGTAGTCTTCACAGTCATTTTATTGTATCTTGAAAATATTCTTCATGATAAGACAGCACAAAGTTTCATCCATTACCAGAATCGATCACTGGGAGAGTGAAAACAGCAAGCTGTCTGTTGGAACTGAACTTTACTTTGCACTTGATAACTGGGTCTCACCTGAGTGGCCGCTATTCGCCATTGAAGAACGGTAGCGGTATTACGTAAAAACTCCATATAACGTCATTAAAAATAGGTATAATGTCAACTTGTGCACAAGTATTCACAAAGAAACTCTTAATATAAACATATAAGAAACGTATTTACTCTAGTTACGCAGCTGGTCTTCTCGCAGGGAGGAATGGCAACAGTTGATCCCTGAGGGAAACTGGCCCCAGAGAGAGAATGCACTCACATGTCAGGCGAACTAGTTTTATAATCATACCCCATTTCTGCTGATAAGGATACATTGTTCAGGAATATTTGGGTACTAGGAGTATGTACCACTTTGGCGTTCTGCGATGCTTTTATTAATGATTACTTAATTGTTTTCATATCTAAGCATACCTTTCCTAACATTCAATTTGATTTAATTAGTATATGCTAGTTCTCTAGATATTTCGTCAAGTAGATTGACTCAGTACTTATTATGCATTGATATACAACAGACACGGGCTGACAAACCGAGGTAAATGAGAAACACGAACTTGTGTGATGCAGATATATTTAATCGAAAGAAGACGTGAAAACTGAATTGCGAATATTATCGGAACTACGGCCAAATAAAAATAGCTGGAACACTGTTTCAGAGATACCTGCCCATTTTCAGACATTGTAGGGGTTGAATAATGTAGGTTGCAAGCTGTATGCGGTAAATGTTGTAAATTGGCGCATGTTTAGTATCAGTGAAACACCTATTATTAAGAAGTTGCTGATCCCGGTATTATTATGTAATAAAATAAATATAATGTAACATTTTGAGCCACACATGTTGTCATTAAATCTGCCATTGAAACAGAAATATGATTATATAGTTTGAGTGTGAACCTACCTAGTCACGAACAGATTCCGTCTTTTGAAGCGACTTGACTAATACCGTTTCTCTGAAACATCCAACTAAGGCACAGGAAGTGTAGAGTCAATCTATTTGACACATTTTTAAGTTACGTAATATGGATGCTGGCTGTCAAATGCGAACTGGGATACTCTTACAATCGACAGCTTGCTGTTTTCACTCTCGCAGTGTTCGATTCAGGTAATAGATGGCGCATATTGTGCTGCCTTATTGCAACATACTTTATATCCTGGACAGAGGATAGTTGTTCAGCTTTCGTTCTTTGTCCTATCTCAGACGAAGCCTAGGCCATGCTGATGAGTTGCCAAATAGCATGAAACATCTGTTCATGGTTGGCTGTCTGTAGTCAGACAAACAAAACCTATATTTAAATATTCTTCATAGTTTGTCAATTGGATCTTTATTGTATGTTAACCAATTACTATTTTTGCAGTGGTCTTTTCGGTGCGAAACTACAAGGTATGTTGATCCATCTGACTCGTATTTTGCCTCACCTGATATTGGTCATCTGTTCCATTGTGCATCCCTCGCCGAAAGCCTTCAACTTTCCCGAATGGAAATCGGCCAAAAGGCCCAAGAGAGCCCTTTCCATATGTCTGACGTCCGGCACTTGCGATATAAAAGAGTGATGTCGGATATTTGTATTACTTGTACTTGGATTCACTACACATGCGAAGGCGGGTGCAAAAAGAAAACGGAAAAAACTAGATAAGCAAAATAAAAATAAAAGGAAATTAAAATGTAAAGGCGGAAACACATGATTGCTTCGTCAGGTGAACTCTTGAGCTATAACGTAAATTCACGTATCTTCAATCTAAATCGATGAATTGACAAATATTGGTGCTTGGCATTGGCGGATTTAGAGTGGGTGCGCCGCCTCTAGATGTTCAAGTCTGCCAGTTTTTCAAGAAAATGGTATTATATTGCTGGTGAGATGTATCAGGTTATCACCAAACAAAAGAAGCATCCATGACATACGTTAAGAAAAAAACTTTTATTTTAAATGTCCAACACTTTACTCAGTAATAAAGATAAACTGATAGAATTGAGCTTCTTTTATTCGTTTTTTGCAACTCTTCTAATTTAATCACCAACTATATTCCTGAATACATACTTTTCTTTTGAATAGATGGGATTTCATGTGTCATGAATTTGTATTATAACTCGTGAGATATTCCTACCTTAATAAGCTCTACCAATATGTGTAATCTACTGGTGAACAACAAATTGCATGATGTGCTAGCAACAAATTTACATGTTGGTCTATTACAGTGGCTATTAACATGTATTAGCAATTACTTTCAATAAATATAATTGAAAATGTTTAGAGTACAGTGAACAGAATGGATAAATACCATTAATATGCTATAGGAGGTATTGACAATAAAAACTCACTCTTATTGAGTACTACTAAAATTATACATATAATTTTATGTAAACAATTCATCTGGGTATGTTAAAAGCTATCATGATTTTAGATTTCCGAATCCCACACGAAAATAAAAATACGAGAAAAGGAATTTGGTGGTTGAAAAAATTTATGTTGACTAGTAATTTGAACATTCCAAAAATCAATACAAAATTAAGAAATCATTTAAGTACACAGAGTGAAATACATGATAAGAATCTGTTTAAACACGAAATGTAAGTTAAATAAATAATAAGTGGTGAATATCTGCTGATTAGCATCAAAGTATAATTTTGCACAGAATCACTTAGGTTTGGAATATAAACGCTTCAGTAGTGGTGATAATGTTTTCTGAGATGTAATAATAGAATTGTTTTAGCTTTATCTTGAGTGGAAGGTGAGTTATTTGGTCTTAGACAGCAGGTTTTCAATAGACGCTAATTCCTCAAAGGGGTCATAGGTAGAACACAGAAGATATACTCTAAGATAACAAAATAATACAAACAGCAAAAATGTAATAAAAAATAATATTTTATATACAGGGTGTCCGCAAAGTTGGGGTTTTCCTTTACACGACGTGTAGATCTTGAAAACATAAGCAATTTTTCTTAGTACCATATACACCAATGTCTTAAGGGAACCGAGATAAAGGGCTGTGCAACATCAAAAATATCTGAATACCGTCCTGTAGCCGCGACCCGGGACATCACCCATTGGTACAAGGTCTCAACCCGACGACAGAACTCGGTCGGGGTCAGTGTGTCAGGTCAGTATGCAACCTTCAACCGACGGTTACGGTGACGCGTGTAGAGGTAACGTACCCGTATAATCGATTGCGTTTCAAAAAAAAAAAAATAATGGCACACTCATACACCAATAATGAACTCGTTGATATGTTGTTAATTTATGGCGAATGTCTTCAAAATGCTACAGAGGCGTCGCGAGTGTATGCAGATCGTTTCCCTAGACAACATCATCCAAGGCCCCGCAGATTTGTGTAGCTGGTCCAGAGAGTCAGGGATACGGGCCGTTTGGAGGAACTTCGAGGTGGGCACAGTGGGAGGCCTAGACAACCACGAATGGTGCAAGTTGAGGAAGAACTACTAGAGACGTGGCTAGAGAAGTGCAAGTATCAAAAACTAAAGTGTGGCAAACGCTGCGTGAAGAGGGGCTGTATCCGTTTCACGTCCAAGCCCTTCAACCTGACGATTTTCCAGCAAGAGTGCGGTTTTGTGAGTGTTTGTTGCATCAACATGACAATAATCCGGACTTTTTGAAGTACATATCGGTGACAGACGAATCTACGTGCACGCGTAATGGGGTGAATAACTTTCGCAACACTCATGTTTGGTCAGTAGAAAATCCGCACGCTGTCCGTCGGGCACAATTTCAACAAACATTTTCGGTGAATGTTTGGGCTGGCATCGTGAACGGTATGCTATCTAGACTTTTTACGCAACATTTTGCCTTCCTTGTTAGAAGATGTGCCATTAAGTGTAAGACAATCAATGTTTCTGCACGATGGTGCACCGCCCCATTTTAGACGCGAAGTGCGTGAGTTTTTGGATGAATGATTTCCGAATAGGTGGATCGGACGTAATGGACCCGTAGCGTGGCCTCCGCGATCTCCAGACTTAACACTATGTGGTTTTTTTCTTTGGGGAGAAATGAAACGCTTAGTGTACAAAACTGAAGTGCATACGGTTGACGAACTTCGTCTCAGAATTGAATAAGCTGGTGCTTTCAGTCGGGGGAGGGACTCCATTCTCAAAGCCTGCACCGATGCTTGGCTACGTCGTGCACGCACCTGTGTTTTTGAATCAAACGGCGATAACTTCGAACAATACCTATAAAGTACGTTTACCTAAAAACTGAAAACGCGGCAACGCCGTCTTATTTGTTTGGTCTGCACCACCACCGGCGGCTGCTCGGTAGCGCATCAGCTGATTTCATTTTCTGTTGGAGCGGTATGATTTCGGGCAGATACGTACTTAGCCCTTCTCGTTAACTGGAGAGTGAGTACTTTTTCCTTTATTTTTTTTTTACTTGGTCGCCCTCGTTTCACTACACATTACCTTTGTTATTTCAAGGGTAGATGTTTCTGAAAAGGAAAACCCCGACTTTGCGGACACCCTGTATTTTAATGCAATTTCATTATACTTAAACTACCCATTTTATTTTAGTTGATTACACATATTCAATGACCTATTAGGATTAAAGGAGTAGTTCCATTATAGACAATTCCTGAATTGAGAAGAGTATTGAAACTTAAGGTGAATGTCACATAATCAGTATTGACTGTAATCCATCAGTATTTGTCATCGAATATATTTATTGATCATTTGAGTTTATGGTTTATGTTTCAGTTTATTGTTGCATAACTTTAAGATTCGATAGAACTTTTAAAATTAATGCATAAAGTCTATATAAACATATGTCGAAAAATGCGTAGCTTCCAAAATACAGGGTGTTTAAATTTACTTTCTAAAAATTTTAAATATTTCGAACAATATTTGATGTATAACAGTGAAAATTGGTATACAAGGGTTTTTTGGTACGACAAAACGAACCATTGGCATAGTTTTACTGTAGCCGCTAGAGGGCGCTCTCTACTGTACCTGTAGTGTATTAAAATGAACAATTTTTTCTTAGTGCAATTTTTTGCTTTTTGAATAAAAAAACTGATTTGAAAAGCTCTCCTGTGAGTGTTCGTTATAGTTAGCCGTTTTTGAGATATTTCGATTTTTAAGGTGCGATGCATTTTTAATTATTTATGGGAAAATATTTTTTTTTAAATTTTCGATTTGGGCATTACAAGTAATTAATATGATCGTTTAGATTGTGTTTTTAAACACAGCAATAATTCCTAACTCCAAATAAACACAAAAAAACAGAATATTACTTTGTTTAATTTTCCAATATTATTTTTAACAAATTAAATTAATTATTTACAACTAAAATGCTATTGGATAGTTAGGACAAACATACAAAATCTAAAGTAGTTGCTCGAAATGTAAACCCAATTGTTCAATACACAATTCACATCTACGAATCATCGAACGTGGTATAGCATTATTCAAATAAGGCCTTATTTCATCACATGCATTCCTGATTATGTCTATTAGCATATCTCTTGTGGTTACGGGAGTCTGGTACACTTTTTCTTTTAGAAATCCCCACACAAAGAAATCTAATGGATTTAGGTTAGGGGATCGTGGAGGCCAGGCGACTGGTCCTCCACGGCCGATCCATCTTTATGGATAATTTTCGTCCAGCCAGTTTCTAACTATTCTCGAATAATGAGCTGGACAACCATCAAGCTGGAACTAGGCCAATCTTCTTAAATCTAACATAACATCATCCCACATATTTGTATGTTCAGCCTTTAAAAATTCCAAGAAGGTCGCAGCATTTAACCTTGCAGGCAAAAGGTAGGGTCCAAATAGTCGATTACGGTAGATACCAATCCACACGTTCACACACAATTCATGCTGAAAATCTCTTTCCCGAAATGCATGCGGATTTTCATGCGACCAAATATGTTGATTATGAAAATTTACCACTCCACGTCTAGTGAAGCATGACTCATCGGTCCATAAAACGTTACTTAAAAACTCCCTATTATTATCAGTTCTATCAAGAATGTGATTCTTCGTTCTCCGTCCCCTGGCTGTAGTCCTTGCACAGGTTGCAAATGGTAAGGACGTCTATGGTCATTTCTAAGAACACGGTGAACATGGCTTGCTGAAATTCCCAAGGCACCAGAAACTCTCATAACACTTGTGGTCGGATCTCTATCAAACTCACGCAGAATCATACGGGTAAATCTGCGCTGACGAACATTTATGTTTTGATCCCTTTGGAGATTTCCAAAACCATTTTCAATTATTTGGCGATGCACTCTTACAAATACTGAGCGACTTGGATATCGTTTGTTTGGAAATCTTCATGCGTATTCTCTGGCTGCTTCTACTGCGTTTCCATTTACAAAGCCATACACGAAATGAATAACCGCTAACTCTTGATTGGAGAATAAAAATGGCATTTTTATAAAACTTACAAAAAAAAACAGGTAAAAGAAACTAAATTTCGTGCATTCACAATTGTAAAAAAACGTTTCAGGTTTCAACAGACAACAAAACTGTCAACTAATTGACGTTTAACCTTATTCTGCTTTCAATTTCAAAAATATTTGCAGGCACAGCCTACTTCTAAAAATTATCGAAATACTGACTTTTTAACGTTATTTTATCAT